GGGCATGGACGTCATGAGCAATCTCTACTCCCACACCATGACGCGTGACGACAATGAATGCTTCGCTTCCTAAGTGGACTGGCAAAACAGGCCTGAGAAGCGGTCAATCCCCCTTTCAAATCATAGGATCTCCTCATCCCCAATTCCGAACCCCCCCCCTTTGTGTCGTGTGGCCCAAGCTGCCCACCCCTTACCGCACCCCAAGCCCCTAGCTCAGGGCGGCCGGCTCCAGCCATCAGAGCTGGCCACCACGCAGCGCCCATGGCGTCTTGGACTGCTCTGATTCTCACGCCTGCCGGTTGCACCCCAGCTGCGCAGCCTTCAGGCCACGCAGGCCAAGCCACCTGCCCCCTTGGCGGGTGCTATCCAGCTCAATGCCGGTTCGTTGTGGCTGCAGCTGCGGCCCTTTCTTGCAGGCTGCACAGATTCCCCACGCCTGGCCCTGGATTAAGAACAGAGATCAAAGGAGCAAATAAGGCAACTAGCCCAGCCGAGGCGGGACGCGCGTGTTGTAATGCCTACTGCGCGCGAAACCGCAAGAGTTGGGTCCAAACGTAGCAACCAGTTAGAAGGCATGTTCAGAGAACATGGGAGCCTGTTTGTCTGAGAAAGGCGGGCCTTCAGACATGGTGAAGCATAAATCTTCACTCGCCCGAGCTGTGTGAACCCACTCTCTGCAAGACAATAAGCCGACCAATGGCACCATTGCCTGCCGACACAGCAATCCAAGTTGGTGAGTGGGTCAGGGAGCTCAGTTGGCCCTTGCAAGGATTCCAACTGGAATGCCCTCATGTCATGTGCAAAACCGGCTTCGTTTCTATCATTCCCCTGCATCTAAAGTCAATGGAGTTTGGGTTGATTTAACCATGACTTTCGATTATCCAAACATCAATGGAACATCACATGAACCTTCGTTGAAACTCACACACATACACACACCTCACAACAGGAACGCTTCAACACCCTGAATTCTGTGTTTGATGTCTTGGGATCCACTATGCTGGACATACTGAAAACTGCTGGTTGGTAAGCCATGGCGGCCCCTTTCTGCCTGCAGGTCTCCAGGAAGGCAGCCACTGAGCTTGTATTGCGTCGACCTTCGGGCAAGCGAATAAGCCACGGTGAACCGAGAGTATGTGAATACGTCCCAATAATGAAGCACAGCTTCTTTGCCAGCAGCAACAGTGGCTTGCAGCACTTTGAAGTGGGCACGTCACACACACACACACACATTTGAGGGTTGCCCTATATTATGTTGGTTGGGATTGGGTCCTTGGTCCACACTGCGCAACACTTACGCAAACTTGCGCACGCACCGTAACGCAGAAACTAGTTTTAATTGACCCCGGTTTGCGACGCTTCAGTGTTGTTTGTGTGAGCCATTCAAGAAGCAAAGGCATTCGAAAGGCAACAGGGCCAGGAAAGCAGGACGTCCGAGGCAGTGAAAGGCTTGATAGATGCCTTGCTTTGCTGGGGCTTATCGTACTTGTGCAACTTGCGCGCAGCTTGCGCGGATTTTTCGTGCCAGGCGCTGATTATCAAATTTTATCGTGTCCTTGACAGTAAAGAGCTATAACTTCTTTTCATGAAGCTAGGCATCATCAGTGCATGCAACCCTGTAAAACTTTGACCTTGCGCATCCCTTGGTCCACACTTGCGTCCTTGCGCGCGCAGCTCTATTTCGACAACTTTTACTTCTCCACGTTCGGCGGCAATTAAAACCGAAGACTGGGGATTTGGGACGACCCCCAAACACACGTGCACAACTATACACACAAAAACACATACACGGGCACATAAACACACAAAGAAGGACACAACACAAACACAGATGTCGACACACACACACACACACACTCTAAAACATCCACAAAGGACACAGCACCTCGATCTCCATGTGGGTGTCCTTTTGGGGGAACACTGTGTGAGTGGCTTCAAAGGCAGCCCCAAACCGAAACCAACCACCCCCCCGTTCAGGTTAACTTTAAAGGAGTTCCAAAGAGGAGCCAACAGACCCATGACTCGTCCGAGGTGCGGGAGCAGGCATGGCGTCACTTTGGCCTTGCCCTTGTAGCCCGGCGCGCATGTGGCGACCACGTCAAAAGCAATTCCTCGGTGGCAAAACGGCTCCTTTTGCAGTGGCCACCTTTCAAGGCGAGGCAACAGAAAAGATGTTCTAACAGAAGGGGCTCAAACGTGTTTAAACAGGGGAACAGTAGGTGCTTATACATGTATAAAACCTTAACAGGGGGTTAGCGGTGTCCTTTCGGTACCCGAAAGGCCCTTGCGCCAGCTACACGGCGGCAGTGTCTGAACTGGACAGGCATGTCAGTGCCACTGATACTCGAGGAGGCGGCCTTTTCTCAATCCATGCAGCAGTGGCCTGAAACCCAGCACAACCTGCATGCTGTTGCAAGGTTCTCACTGCCTTTTTGTAAGCATTGTGATCTACAATGCCAAACCTTTCAGTTGATGCGGTCTGAAGTTCTCATGGTTCAGCCTCCTACGCCATTTCCATGCAGAATGATATATCTGAAGCTGCTCTGCTGCCAAATGGCCTCCTGTCTTAAGGCACTGGGACTTTTGCCGGTCCAGGTGGGGTAGAGTGCATACTGTGGATGGCTCCAACGCCACTTGGCAGCAGCTGGTAGATGGTGTATCAAGCAGCATTCGAATCGGGTCTCATCCATCCCAACAGAGCGTTTTGTGGATTTTGAAGGACACCAGCACTTTAGGCTTTTTCCATGAACCAATCACATCTGGGGGCCACTGAATTCAGAACCCGAGCACTGGTCTCGGTGCCATGGCTTGTGCCCAGGCTCGGTGCAAGTGGCGCTCCTCTACGATGTAGCCCTGGCAAAGCAACGAGCTGGCCATTCGGCCATGGTGTCCCAATTGAGGAGGACATCTTTGTGTCTAAAGACAAAGGCCCAGAGGCAAGCCGCTACTTTCCGGGGCTTGATCTTGGAAAACACTAAGCGTTGCTTTTGCAGAAGCCGGCATGGTGATGGACCATGCTGTCGAACCCAACTTGACCTTCGCATCAACGTTGCCGAAGCATCTTTGAAGGATTCTGATTGCTTGGCCTTATCGTTGCATTTTTTCACGGGTGGAGTTGGGCGGCTGGACTCTACAAAGGAATATTTCGGCAACACTTCAGCCTCATCCACTTCTCATACCATCTCTCCCCCCGATCGCTTTTAGCCTTTCGATCTGTCACCCGTCGAACTTTGCCTACAACCAGAAATGCAAACCACCCCCCCCTCCGCCCCCCCCCCCGCTCCAAAAACCCGCCCCCAAACCCTCCACCCAGTTCCCCAACGCTGCTCGCTCCTCGGAGTCCGGCGGCAGACAGCTGGAGGGCAGCGGCAGGGAGCTGTTGAGGCCCAGAAGGCCCACCAGCACCACCGCCTGTCGCTTTGCCGAGGCGCGCCGAAGCAAGCGGCTGCGGCAATGGGACGCCTGCCGTTGTAGCAGCTTTCTACTCCAGGTGCAGAAAAACCGAGCAGGGGAAGTCAAGGGAATCAGGGGGGTGACCGGTGGTCAAGAGATGGTCATTAAAGCAGGTACCTCGGGGAATCATGATGTAAAATTGTCAGGTGCGCTAATCTCTTACTCCCTCATGCAGAGAGGCAGACTCAAACATCAATGTCAGCCCAAGGGGGTAAATATCCGAACCATGTCTGAAATGATGCAGTTCAGTGCGGGATTGAAACACAACCTGGGTGATATTCTACTGAATGCTGAAGCGTTCATCCTTCGTATTGTCAGTTGATCGATCCCGATGTGCCTTCTGACTTATGCTTGACAGCAACTAACTGCCCAGCTTCTGATCCCCAGCCCAATTGCATGCTTGATTGTGGTGCATATTTAGTGAACCTGGGCACGTATAACTGCAAAAGAGACTCCAAGCGGCGGGTCCTCCCCTGAATGGATGGCACATCACCACCTGGGACCTGGCATCACCTAGCGCTGGCCGGACGGCCTGTGCAGCCACCAGGAAGCCGAGCACGTAGCAGCGGCAGCTGAAACCCTTCCGCTTTCCCATGGCGCCATTCGCCGGAGCCGGTGGGTGGGTTGGGTTGGTGGCCTTTTGGCCTTGGTGGTCGGTGGGATTGGCTGGATGCGAGTGGTGGGATTGGCGGCCTTGCCAAAAGAAAAGCATCTGGCCCAAGTGCTTCTTCCTGATCATGGAGGTGGTTGGCCCCAGTGATTTGCTATAAGGGGAGCAGCACCCGAGGGGGGAAACGGCAGCCAGCAAAATGCCACAACAAACGGCAACGGGTTGATAAACAGTTTGCAAGTGGAAAAGGTTGTCCGAATTAGTCTGTACCGTTCACTCGCAAGTTGAATGTTAGACATCTTACCAAAGCTCTGTCAAGTCTTGGTTAAGCTGGAATAGACTGTGACATGCTCCAACTTTGCGGGATCTTGGAAAGCTGCTATTACACGTCTCTTGGACTGGACCATCCCACCGTCTCTGTTCATTTGCAGGCCATGCGATTCCCGTATCGAGCTGTCACTCTGTGAAGTGTTGCCACTGTGGAGCTTTGGAAGCACGCGGCGAGGCAAGGCCTACATGCCGAGGCAAAGAAATCAGTCAACCTGCAAGTCCAAGTCCCGACACACAATTCAAGCGTAGCAACTACTGGCAAATGATGTCTCCTCATCCAAACCAGTGATTCGCTGTTGTTGTTTGTGAAAAAGGAACAGAACCCCAGCATCAGTGTCAGCACCGTCTACTGCAAGAGGGCGCCCATTAAATACACCCTACATAGTGTGCGCAAGTCGAAACATGCCTATGCATGGGTCTCGGGATGGCTCAAATCTTCAGAGTCGTAGGTCGATGGCCTGAGTCAGGGTTTGATTGACATAGACAGATTTCACATCATTTCACCCATTCAATGGGCAACTGTCCCTAGTGTTGGTAGCATGTATGGCTTCCCGCAGAAAGACCGCCTTTGAATGCCGCGGACTCGACCTATTCCCTCCCTCTCCGCCTTCGCTCGCGGAGGGCCTCGGACAAAACACGCAAACGGCTTGCGCAGGCAATTGGGTGACGCGCACATCTCACCACTCACTGTCCTTGTTTGTTTTCCTTGTCAGGAGCCGGGGAGTACTGGTTCTTACACTTCAGGGGCTTTTTTGCTTTCAGGCTAAATCAAGGAACAAGGCAGACTAGGCTGGGGGGAGGCCTTCTTGGTGTGCGCATCTCCGCAGCTGTGTTCAGCAACAGCTTGCAGGTTGCATTCATTTGCATGGCGGACTTGACACCACGGACTGCGTGCAAATCTTGCTGGAGTTCATGAAGGCCAAGTGAAATTGCGCTTCGCACGGGCTCGTTTGGATGCCATGCAAACTAGAATTGATAGACCTGCATCTGCGGTACCTGTTGCGAATAAGGTATAAGCCCGCTTCGGGGGGGGGACTACTTTTTGCCTCACTGGTGACAGCCACGTGAAAACTCCTTCTGTGAGACATGGTCCTTGGTCCGTCAATACACTGGTTGGATAAAGACCAGTTGAAACCCCTATTGGGGTTCAAAAAACAATCCCTGCATGAGTTTCTGCCCGGATACGAAATGGGTAGTATACTGCAGTATGCTATAGTAGCTCATTTTGGAGGTGTGGAGGGAGCGAACGTCAGGTTTCAAGCCTGGAACACACAACCACACGAATTGGGTGATCATACTCGCAGCAGCCAGCTATTTCTTCTACACCAGGACCAGCTCTCAGCGAGACAGGGCGTTCAATGTGTTTTGCTTGCAACAGGAGCTTCCATGCAAGAAACCAACATGCAGCTTGAGAAGGTCCACTAGGAGTAAGCAGCCAAGCACCCGTCGGGTGGTCACAGGCCTCGTTAAGATGTGCTTAAACAGAGATCTGTGGGTGTCCGAAAGAAAGGGACCCGCTGTTCTTCAGAGAATAAAACGAAAACCTTGCTTGTCTAGAGGACCCACCCATTTCAACGGAACCAATGCCAAATTGTAAGGAATTTCTTATAGGAGTCACCAATTTTGGGACTCATCCATCTCAAGGCAAGCGCTGTCTCCAGGCTGATGCACACCTGCCGTCAACCCGAGGTCCAAAAGTTCTGAGGAATGGTCACAAGCTTGCCACACCAGGAGCCCCCACAAGGTAACCTCACAAGGAACGTTCATGATTTTCTGAAGCATGTTTTAGATCATTTTGCTTGCAACAACACACGTTGTGACATCATGTCTAACAAGCTTGGTCAACAATGAAGGAGGATGCCAAGTCCAAACAACTATCTGCAGGAAATGGAAGGGGGGATAAGTATGCCTATTAACGCCGAGGAAGCAAATGTCCAGTTCTCACAGGTCTAGTACTACAAAGACGCCAACAAAACTCAGGGTGACAGGGGGAAGTCCTCTGTGTGGTTAAAAGCCACTTTTTCGCAAGAAGCTCGACATGGAATGTTTAAAACATGAATGACTTTACCACATGTCTGCCAACAAAAGTGAGATATATGATACGATTCAAGATATGTCTATATTTTTGCGCTTATATATGCTTATATACATATCTGATATTGTCTCATGCATCCAATTCGCAGCCTCACGGTTCAGAATTCATGTTTGCCCATCAGAAACCCGGCGCCAGCGTTGGGAGCGGCCAACCAACGTCTCCTGAACAATACCTGCACATCGTGTTGTGGACAGCTCAACTCATTCCTTGCCAGGGATCGTCCTCGTTGCTTGCACATGTGTTTGTGAACACGTCTTAAGCTTCGGATGCACGATGCCCTGGCTACATGACGAGGTCACACACACATGTCAAGAACATTCGTCAAGTTTCTTGACCTCTGCAACCATTGCTGCACTCTTTGCTTGGCCTAGGCTCTGGTCTATGATGGGGCAAACTTTGCCTCTAGCCTGTACTTCTCACGCCAAACACAAACGCAGTCATAATTTGCCAACAGCACATTTCAGCAAGCACAAGGCCACAATAAGCTCGGTTATACAAACCTTGCCACAAACTTAATGTCATGTCACGTTCATGGAGCTGAGCAAACACACACACACACACAGGACAGGACCACAACAGCCTACGTAGGCTAGGAACGCTAGGAATGCTGGCAAGGCGGCTCCTCATGTCCACACTTTGACCGACTAACAAAGGCACTGCCAATTGTCGCAAGTGTTTGCCATGAGGCTTTAGCACGTGAGCAAACTTTGTCGTTAGCGCATTGGCAATGAACAGGAGACCCACAGCATGAGTCTCTCTGTTCGTAAGCGAATTGAATTTGCTATCTTCGGAATGGCAATCCATGAATCTACTGCGCACATGCGCAAACTGACAAAAACCCGCCTGCCAGATTCTGAACCTGACGCTTGCATGCCGACAACTTGGGCATAGCTCCATGCCTAACATCGACAACTTTTAGAAGCTGTTCAGAAGTTCAAAAACAGGACATTGTCATGCTATGTCATTGGGTTCATTGGGTCCAAACTCTGAGCTGCAATTTGATGCAAGTGAGGCTCTAATTGTCAAAGGCGCAATCGGACCAGTCACGTTGATTGCGAAGTCCTTCTGCATCGTGCAGTCATGAAGTGTCGACTTGGTTTCAGGAGTCATGAAGTGTCGCAAGAGTATCCTGCTCATTTTCACAGCTAAACTTGGCGCTGCTCTTAGCTGGCATAAGTCTGTGAATGGACACCCGAGTCATAACCCAAAACCTGGTAAAACAATGGTCTACCCAGAACCATGTGAAGAATCCAAGTGGCGGCCGCGCCCGCTTGTTGTCCCCTGCTACCCTCCATTTGCCCGGGTTGTGATTGTGACTCACCTGCAGACATCACAACCTCATCTCAGGCAGGGGTTCCTGATAAACCCACCCACACTGAGCAACACCATTCACCGCAGGCACCAGGACAGCACACATCACACTCAGAAACACATAATTGTGATTTTCGAAATAATGACGACCTTCTGCCTCTAGGGATGCCGTTTTTTTCCACTCAGTCACGCAGCAAATGGGTTATGTCCACACAGCACAGCAGCATGAAACCTTTCAATCAGCCCAAAACTCCCAAGCCCACCATCAACACCTTGTTGTGTGCGTGAATGGGGTTGTTGAGCACCGATACCCAACAAAAACTATATGACACACAGAAAAGGTTCAGCAGTCCGGTGCCTTCATTTCTGCCACTCAAAGTGCACCAGGCGTCCCACGCCAAACGCCACTCAAGTCCCGGCCTGAACCAACTCGGACTTGATGGCTGTCATAGACTCCTTGTGGATTCGTGGGGAGATGGACACAAGGCCTACATGGGGCTGGGAAGCACCAGATGCAGAAACAGTATCTGGAAAAGTTGCTTGTACAATTGCTGTCAGCGCAATGTGCAACAACTAGATATGGGTTTGGAAGTTGCAGGCGTGACATCTCTGCTTCTCACTCCATCATTCAAGTTCGAAATCGCTTAAGGCTTGGTCTTGAGACCATCTTGGCAAACTACGTCAAACTATCATCCCAGACCTTGCACACCACAGGAATCCTCATAAGGGGCGTGTTCCCAGGTGAGCTTGCGAAACCCCGAGCGGTCACTGTTTTACACGGTGGCCCTCTTCTTGGCAAACATTGATCCCGCGAATACTCAGCTCAAGAGATGTCTCTCCAAAGGCTCAACCTCCACCTTCCTCCGCCATGCCATCGCCCCCATGGCCAGAAAACAACTACCCAGCACTAGGGCATACCATCCTTCACTGCTGCGGCCCAAAGTTGGTGTTACGGCTGAGGTCGCCAGGGTCGCGTAAGGTGTGGAGGCATCCGAGGTCACTGAGTTGAAGAAATCGCGCTCATGCATCATGGCAGCTCTGAAGGTTTCAATGGACTGCTGGACAGGGTAGGATGCAATGTCAATTTGATGCACAATTGAAGACTTGCCTCCCAACCCTGCGATCCAAGCTTTGTAAGAACTGTTGGATAGCCCCTTGCAGCTGCTCAGCTTCCAGCCCAGCCACTCCCACAGAACACTGTGGGGAGCAAAAGCGATCACTGACTGTTCCAAAGGTTCTTTCTGAGCAACACTGCCCAAAAAGTCAACGTAAGCCTGGCAGGAAGTGCTGCAAGTAACATTTTGCAAGTGCCAACCACTGCCTTCCTCTGCCAAGGAAGTGACATAACTACTGCGCAGCTGACGAAAGTAGATGGTCAAGTTGCCACTGGCCCCTTGTTCTTTGAGAGACCTGTTCTGGAGGCCATCCAGCACTTTGATGACCCCTGGCATGAAACAACCAATGTCTTGCACCATGTACTGGCTGAACTTCAGGACATCCAAGTTCCCACTGCAGGCCTCTGAGATGAAAGGGGAGAACCAAATCTTCCTGTGAATGTCTGAAGCGCCATCCCATAGCACTTCTCCAGTCAGCACTTCTGCAGTGGAACTAGGCAAAAGAAAAGACAGCAGCAAAAGCAGACCCTTCATGGTGACAGACTGGCGTCCTGAGCCGAAATGCCTACGGATGCACCAACCCGCTAGGAAAACATGAAAGTTAAATGGAGTCCTCATCCCAAATCTGAGGGAACACTGAAAAAGTTCTTGAAACCACCGGTCAGTTTCATGTTGAGGAGAAAGCTAAGCTCTTTCTACGCCCCAATGAGCCCGCTCAAGTTTGCCCCAGACTGCATGCGTCACACCAAGACACTTGTTTAGGCTGCAAAAGTTCAACTGCGGAACGTATTATTGTTGGGCAACGGGGCATTAAACTTGCACGTGCCGGCTCATAGAAAACCAACGTACGTGGCTCATCACAACTCAGGAGGTCCGACGGTGGGACGCACAGCAGGAGGGCGTTCAAGGAATGCTCCGACGATTGCGTTCAAAATCGAAGCCAATATGGCACCATTCAACCATTCAGATCATTGCCAATTCGCATCGCAGAAGTTCCCACACGCTTTGTAGACTCGTATTTCTTTTGTAATGAATAGCTCAGACTACTCGGAAAGCCATATGCTCCGCACGCCAATTTAAGAAACAGCCATACACATGCTGTGGGATGCATCCAGCTGTCCCCGAATGCTAGCTGCCCGGTCCCCCGAGCTCTCCATCGAACAAAGTTCTATGCTTCAGCGATGGAAGAGCAGCCGGGATTCGATGGCTCCCTCCGCGCCGAAATAAACCGGCGCCGTTCCGGGAGCTTCTGCTCCTTCAGTTCCATCTGCAGCTTGGATGATGGGAAGTCCCGTCCAAGCAACGCATGACTAATGTAGTTGTACATTCTAAAAAAAAAACGCGATGCTGCACTCAGGCTATCTGCTGACTGCAAAGCGGATGTGGCAAAGTGTCTGGACCTTGGGCCAGCTTGGCCACTCACCAAGGTATGCCCCAACTTGGGGCCCCAACTGTCTCGTCCCCCCCTCTCAGGATACCCTTTCTTTGGTTGGCTTAAAGAAAAACAAAAGGAAGCACCGCCATGTTTGGGGTTCACACACTGTTGGACATATACCCAGATGAAGCATTAAAGCTACCTGTGATTCCAAGGGCATCCCCTTGAACCGTCGTTTTAGGATACCTTTTCAGGTTGCTTTTCAGGAGACAAGTGGAACACCACCAGGAGTTCTGTAAGGACCAACCCGAAAATACGGCATGCTTAGTTTTCCCCATGTTTACTTGCTGGTGCTCAGTGGGGAATGAGAAAGGCAATGATTTCTATAGACCATCTGGTGGACTCCTAGGGGACCAAGGCTTGGGTTCATTCAGCCACACTCACCCCGAATTGCACCGCAACTTTCGGGCGCGCGCCCCGCGAGCGACTCCTGCAGGTTCTGCAGCGCGTGAGGCACGCGCTCGATGCGCCGCGCCTCCGGCTCCAGGCCTCCAAGTTGTCTTGCGGAGTCGCCCCCGCTTTTGGGGTTGCGAGGAAAGGAAAACCGACACAAGACACAGATTTGGGGAGGTGAACACAAAAGCACTTGTACATTTTAGGGGACCCGCCAAAAAGCATGAGGGCAGGTGCTCAGTGACTGGCCTCCAGAGATTTGGGAGGGAGATTCTCCCAGTTGGACATCAGGCCAGCACGGGTGTTCATGGTTTCCAGCTCGATTTCGATGCATTTGTCAATCGGTGGAGAGCTAAACACAAGAACACACACACAATCGCACATACACACAAAGGCATGGCTGGTGTGCTTGCCCTCCTCTGTCTTTTATACACTCTATAGCAAACATGAAGCCTGGCTCAGCAAAACCTTGCTGCCACATGTAAAAATAGCATTCATGAATTTGTTTGTCCAGGGTTTCAAAGCAAAGAAGATGATGTCGGTTGACAGGGAAAAAGCAAGTCTGAGAACCTCTCAGAATGCTCACTCTAAGTGGCCCAGTGATGACATATGACACCCCCAACTGGTTCTCGCCTGCCAGCTTGGCATCCAAGGCGGATTGAGCTTTCCGAAGCGCCTCCGGTGACTTGGCTCGACATGTAAGTACTGCCCCTTCATGGAAAGCTGTCAAATTCGTAAGTTCAACTTATGTTGGAATAGTACACTCTGCCAACATCTGGCAACTGAAGTAGACGTCGATGGAGACGGAGCTGTCACTCTCGACGACTTCTACAACATCATGACCAAGAAGACCTTCGCTTGATAATAATTTGCATAAGCCTTTTCTTACTCTTCTTCTCAAACCGTTGGAAAAACTGTTAGTTATTAATTCAAACGGGGGTTTGGGGTTTTGGGGTTTTGGGCTTTACTGTTTAAGTTGTGCGTGTGTGCGTCATACAGAATACAGAGCGCTCGACATATATGCTGAAGCTCATTCCTGGATGCGCCGACTCAAGGAAGGGTTGTATGGATGTGGCGCACTGGAATCAGAAACCAGGTCGTACGCGCACTGATCCACTTGAAATTCAATCAACAGACAGCCTCATCCCAACTAAGGACAGGGTTTCGCATCATCCCGTGCACTCACATCCAGGGCTATAAACTCTCAGCCAAGTTCCATCCCGGATTCCCCAAAGCTCGCATTCAAGACGCAGATTTTCAGCCCCGGTTCCCGTGTCCAACTTTCACAGCGCCGAATTCAAGTGCACCTGTTCAACATTCACACCGCCCGTCGGCTTTCCGCTCCCAGGGCTCGGCCTGAAGCTCTTCTTGCAGCGCGTGATCCTGACAGGGTCCGGATCACGAGAGCGTCGATGGGCCCAACTTCTGAGCTTCGGCCCAATAGAAAGGCTGTGCAAGAAACCCTTGCGGTGGACAAAATGAGCCTGAAAATGATATGTATCTTTCAAGTACTATGACAAATGCTGATAAGCGGTAGCGTATAAGCACGCGGAGAACAGAAAGTGCTTTTGGCAGAAGGCTGCGTGTTGAAAAGAGCGGCCATAGTTTGTTATGAAAGAAAGGTTGTCACACTATTGGAGTTGATTAGAGTCGGCAATGCATCTCAATAAAGGGTGCTCTGCCGCCACCTACTGTGGTGCAAACATGAACAGCACGTCATTGCCAGTGGTGTCTCAGAGTGACAGCAATTGATGCAAGACAAACCACTCCGGGTTGGATCTTTGGACTTTCACTTTTTGATTCCCCTCATATTTCCTTTTAAGCAGCAACCAGTTGAACTTTTTGCTGGGGGATCTACAGCATCCAAGAATGTATCCCAGCGCCCTCAGGTGTAAAACCACGGGTCGCGTGAAGTCACAAGGCGGTCCAAGATGCGCTCCTGCTGCTTCATGCCCTGCGCTTCCAACAGCTCACCTAAGGTGAGAGCAAGCACCGTGCCCTGTGTTCAATGCAAACACCAGGGTAGCAACGGTTTGGGCCAACATCCTGAAATAGGCATCTTCAAACATCATCTCCTTTTCCTTCTGGTTCACATTGAAAGGGGGCCAGAGTCTGGTTCAATCCATTCCGCTTTCGCAACTTTCAAGCGTTGCCATCGGCCAAGTTGCTGGTAAGCTGCCCCTGCCTTGCGGGGCACAAGCCGATGGGAACGAGTCCGGCAGTGGACCAAGCGGGACCCCCAGAACTGGTGGGCAAGCACCAACCAAACAAGATCTCATCTGAATTCCTTGTAGTTGCAACGAGCTTCCAGCGGATACTCCAATGTCTCTGTGTTACTTTTTGCCACAAGTCCAAGCCCAGATTCGCGAAACACAGCTACATGCTGACGACAACGCCTCAATCTTGTGTTAGCTGCAAAAGAAACACGCTACAATGACGCATTTTTGCTCTCGGTCCCTCCACGAACTGGGAGTGGCTCAAGTGATCAGCAGAGTGGTGAAGCTGGAACAACCACAAAGACCGAGGCATGGGTGTTCCTCTGACGCAAGTGATCAACACAAACAGATCAAATGGCTACTGTATCGTGTAAGCCTTCCTGAAGGCATGCGCCCAACCACTGCCCATTCAAGGAATGGCAAACACCTAAATGGCCTGACAAGTACAAGCAGCACATTATGATTCATATGTGGCAAGCAAAAAAGCTACAACCAGAATTGCTACGTGAAGAACTCTACACTAGCAGCAGGAACTGCCAACGCCAACCTCCCCGCATCAACGAACAAGGGGCGAGCGAACTCATGTCGTGAGTCAAGCCAAAAAAAGATAGATAATCATCAAGCAGTCTGAGCAATTGTCCAGCGGGTTGCGGTGACATTTTTCGAGAAGCCTAACAGCTAGAACTAATGGCATACAGTACGGTCTCTTGTTCGCTTTTCTGATCTACATGTGGTTTTAAAGCAACCACAACACTCACCCCAAGCCAAGGGAATTGCTGCAAAGTTGAACCATCAGACTCCCGTCCTTTTCAGGGCACAACGCGGTGCAACTTCTGTTTGCGAGGCTGGGATCCCATTTCATCGTGCCTGGAGCCTTCCTCTCGCAACTGCTCAAGCTTGGATTGCAGAACCTGGCACACTTGTGAGCCACACATCCGCATCGGAGCGGGTAGGACCAGTGTGCCGTAGCTCCAACTGCCAGTTCACTCACCACACTCAGGAACTAAACACAACGGCATATGTGCTCATACGTCTATCAAGTATTGCAAAAACAACGTGGGACATGGCAGCTTCGACAAATGTATGGCGTTGGCGCCCAAACACAGCCACCGCTTACTGGTCCTTCTGGCATCCTTGTATGATTGAAACATGGCTGCAGGGTGGGCGGCGAACTGACCCGAGAACCATGGAACCCAACCCCCAAAACAGAATCACAATAGTACTACGAAGCCAACTTCTTGCTCAAATTCTGCAAAATCATACGCTGAGGCGCATGAGGTGGAACAATTCAGCTTTTCTTGGGTTGTATGCGGAGGGATGCAATGGTATGCATATATCTTGAGCCCCATCTGTGTAGTCGGGACCATTGCATTTGTCTCTGGTAGACCTTCCATTGCATACAACATAATGGGACCGACACAGAAATTATTTCTTGTCTGAAAGAGTCGGAAAAGGGCTCCAACGGATGGATGCATATGGATGCAGTGCAGCTTCCGCGAAATTTGCAAATACATGTTTCTCCGCGTGTTGAGAGTCCCGGTCCGCCAGTCAACCGCCTGTCTTGGTAAATCAAACTCTTTGTTGCAACAAGGTTGACTTCGAAGCTGGGAGCGGCATCAAAGCTTGCGCGTTGAACCAAACTGCGCTGCATGCACTTGGCTTCTCCGTTGGTTTCTTGTACCGTTCTGAAGCAAAAAGGCCGAAATTGAAAAGTAGTCGTGGGACTCCGGAACCTCACACAGACTGAGCCAATCGATCCAATTGAAACATTGTTAATGTTGACCCAGGATTAGTAAACCCGTCCCATCATTTGGGGTGTTCCCTCCAAAAGTGATGAATCCCCACTAAACGGGGACACCCCCCGATTAATCAACCAGGGGTTTAAATTCATCCGGGGCTAACATTACCCAAAGGCCGAAATCCCATGCCGGCTTTGCCACAAGCTCATTGCTGGTGCGCTGAAGCTCCTTCCGCGTCGCAGCCTCCAGGACTCGGCTTGGGCGATGCACAGCAGGCAACGCGAGAATAAGCCAATTGAATTTCAAGGGGTACCCGGAGTCTCCATGACCCTTAAAAATGGGTCCATGACCCCAATAATTTGGATATTTTGGCTGATGGACCCGTTCTTAAAGGGTCACGGAGACTCCAGGTACCTCCAAAGCTCTGGCACAAAGTCAGTGAGAACATCAACCAAGATTTCAGGTGTTGCGACCGAAGGAAGGACATGAGAAGATGGGTGGGGCTCTGGCAACATCAGGAGGGGTCGGCATCCTTCCTGTGAATAGACGACTCAACATAATGTAGTGGTCTCCAAATGGGGTCACCCCAACTTATATGTGGTTTCCCATGAAAACAATCCCACTCTGGGTACCAACTCAAACAAAAAATCACCCTTGTATCTGAATAGAGTGTCCCACTTATTTTAGCGGGACCCTTCACTTTGTGGGGGGGTTGCCTCCTCAAAATCCACCAAGTGTATTCTCCAGGGTTAACGTGATTGTCAGCCTACCCAACTGCCTGAAGCAAGGCACAGCGAAAGCACGCGCCTCGTGAACTTCGGCGCCGCAGAAAGTCAACCGCTGCTCCAAGCCTGAGCCGAAGACCGCTTTTTGGTTCCGAAGTTGAACAAAACCTTAGAAGGGGGTAGGCTTGGACTGCGTGGACCTTCCTTTTTGCAGGGATGTGTGTTGGCCTGAAAACAGCCCTGGCAATGACTTGCTTTGCTCATCGTCTCGGTTTAATTGAAGTTCACTACACATCACGACGTTCCCCTAGTCGCAACCATTCACTTCTCGCATGATCCGAAATAGGGAATGACTGCAAAGGCAAAGATGCTCAATCACTTGGCACCCGAAGTCAATTTGGTCAGAAGCTTCTCAATCAACTGAGCTGGGCCGAACTAATGCAAGCGTCAATCGAACCAAACGAGGTTGGAGACTCTGAAGTCTTGAAGCTCTAGGGCCTATGCAAATCGAGTAACCTCGACATGAAACCAACCATGCGGCGGCGTGGCCCAATTGCAGCCCGTGACATGCACTCGTAAAACCGCGTCGCATTGCGCTTCAAGAAGCTGTTTTGGCAGTTGTAAGGCCCTTGTTTCATCGTAGCGTCAGCGACGTGGTGAACATGACTGGGAGCTAGAGGGCATGACTCTTCAGCATGCTAGCTTGTCTAAAGCCTCCGCACGGAACCATGGAAATCTTTCTTGTTCTGAACAGGAGAGTAGAAGGCAGCTGGCAATCATCTTGTTGTCACATTCGCCCGCTCTCTGCATACAACTGTCTGTTCGAGGGGACACCTCTGATTGGTATGGCCCTCTGGAGTAAGTTGATCTTAGGATCAAAAATATATCTTTATGATCAGTGCAAGCCCCGCTATGAGGCACCAACGCTGGAGTTCGGCCGCATCTGCTTTTCCCTCACTCCTGGTCCCAGCGTCAACAACACCCTGACGCAAACCGAGAGAACCACTGCAGAGCTGATCGAATGCAGGACAGGAAGCTCAATATTGACAGGCACAGCATGCAATATATGATCTTATCCGCTTGCATCAAATGCCTTTCTTGTAATCAAAGCTATACTTGGACCTCCCAAGTGTACAAATCTTAGCATCACTATTGTTTCCTTCCACATAACTGCTTGTTGCACCACACAAGTTGTTTGCTGTCACATTATGAGCACTTGCCCTTTGGGAGGTTCACTCACGTACCGTATCATGAAGATAGATGTACAAATAAACCATGAAATAAAGCAAACACCAGAAGGAACATGCACCCATTGCCGTCGAGATCAGGAAATGGGATACGGATGCGCTGGTGCCTGGTGCGCTCCATCGGCTTCCCAAAACTCAACCCGTCGCTCCAAGAATAGCCTGACTCTATTGCAGCTCTAAGCTTTCACATGCCTTAGGTGCTTTGTGCCTGAATGACAAGCTACACAGGATGTACCAGCTTGTTTGTTTATCTAGGAGTGGACTGAGCGTGTTGAACCTCCTGTACCGGCTTCAACAGATTGGCAATTGTGTGCAAGACGCTGTTGCGACTTTTGAGTCGTGCACGGCTGGGCCCTCCGGCCGTCAATCCAACACGTATCTCCAAAAGATGCTGCAACATGTGCAATGACTCCAACACCTCAAATACTGTAAGGGATCCCCAAGCAACAGACCTTCATGATGTTGATTCGCAATTGCTGCTTTTTGATGCCAACAGTGTCAGAGATCCTGCAACTTGGCCTTACACAATCAAACACCCTGTGTTCGCAACATGGACGAAGATCCAAAATTGCGGTAGTAGTAGAAATTCGTCGAGGTTGGTCAGACTTCCGAATTTGTGGTTTTGAGTCGCTGAAAATTGGTTTAACATCCCAAATCAAAGTCATATTCACATTTATGCGGTCAGAATCTTACCTGGAAAGCGTGTCACATCAGTTGGTCCTTGGTCGGTGAGATTTGTCAAAACTTGGTCGGAGTTCGGCGATCTTGGTCAGACTTCCTTTCCTACACACACACAAGGCAACACACAGTGCTTTGTAAGATCTGTTCAGCACCTCAAACATGTTGCCAACAATGGCCAGATGATTGATTTGGTTGATTCAAAGTGAACCAGCGACCATGCTGGTGAAGAGAAAAAACTGGAAGCGCACTCTCAGTTTTGAGACTTAGACAACGTTGTGAGGAGAGGCGAACACTTGTGTAAAGCTTATGCCGAACTGAGCAACTGTCAGATTACTACCACTACCAACAAAAAACATGAAAGTGAGACTTCCTCAGTCATGGGCACGTCTTCAACTTGGTTGGATGCCGTCAGTCTGTGTCAGGAGCAACTTCTGACTGATGCTCCAAATTGGTGGCACGCTGCAATCTGATCACAAACCCAAACGCAGGCGTTGGGGTTTCCATCCTCGCCTCTTCCTCTCTAATGCCTTTGTTTCCTTTGTGGACAACCATGTGAGGGCAAACTAGAACACCCCGTTTCATCCTTGGACAAAACACGGCACGAATTCATCCAGGGCGGGGTTATTGGGGCCCTTTTCGGTTAATGCTTGACATGAATGAGCTTGACACCATGCAGATGTATGTCTACGAGTACGAGCGCAAACAAGGCCACAAGACAATGCCCTGCAGGTTTTGTAGTTGACAGATTCGCTCCCGTTCAATCACAAAGGTTCACAAGCCGCAGTTGCTTCGGATATCCCTCCCTTCTTCACCCGCCTCTTGGTCAGCTCAGCCTCTTTGGCCAGCAGTTCCTGCTCCAACTTCTGGACATCCTGTGCAACCAGACCGAGGCATGCCCTGAAAATCCAAAGTTTCAGTGTCTGGGATCATGGATCACAATGCCAAAACCAGGAACAAAGAGGTGACTTAGCTATTGGATGATTGAGTCAATTACCTCATGCGTCAATAGATTAGGTTTTCTTGGAACCTCCTGATTGTGCGCCTTCGTCATCCGGTAACCCACGGGCAGGGATTTTCGTGCCAAGGTGGGCTGGCTGACAACGAACACAGCAAACAGCCCTGGCCTGAACATGCTATCCCCCCCTACTGCTTCTCCATCAGCATGCGCATTGGATTGGGAAAGTAGGCACCAGGCCTTGGAGCGCTCTAGGGTTCTAGGGTTTGTTTGCAGAACTCACAATGCAGAGAAACCAGTGGGATGCATCCCTCCAGGGTGCCATCACCAGGCTGCCGCAGAGCACACTTGCAAGATTTAATATGTAGTGTACCCTCTGAACTTCGAGATTGATCATTTTTGGCTGTCGCTCTTAGTCTGTACCTGCAACAAACATGGGATGTTGCAGCTCCGGCAGGAAAAGCAACTTTACAGTGCGGGAAGTGGGCTTTGGCGGCTTCAGCTCGCAAAGGACATCTTTTGGTTATAAGAGTTCGCGTTATGAGCATGGCGTGCAACACATGGGCTCATTTGGCAAAGGTGCCAGCTCTTCGCTAAGTTCATCAACGCAAGGTCGACTGAGATTCATTCGTTTCAAAACAACCCTGCAGGAACAACTAGACGAAAGGAGACATTGATGCTTGGCAGTTTCTCACTTGTCCTGCCAGGTTGCCCGGCAAAGGAGCGACCCTGATGACATGCTGTTTCAACCGTGTCACCTCACGGACAGTGCAGGCACAGGGTGGCGTTTTCACCTCTAAGACTGCTGCGGCCTGGACCAAGCAGTATTGGTTTAAAATAGTTTGCTTGGTTGCGCCACCAAGACTGGCTGACGCATTTATCAATGAGCTTGGATTCACTTATTCCAGGATAAGCATGCATTAACATGTGAATAGTCTCATTTCTGACGATCAGCAGCTGTTCTTGACTGGAACCGGCCCTTGATCCTCAACTCAGCTTCTACGCTTCCGAGCAATACACAGAAATGCCGTGACCGCGCACTGTGCGCAAGCAAGTAGAACATGGGAGTGCGCTCAAGTCTTGATTGAAAGACGAGCCCAACGCGAGGCTCTGCAAGCTGGCGGGCAAAGCAACCTCCTGTAGGCTTTGATTGAATGAGTCACCGAATACAAGACATTGCAAGCTGCTGGGCAGAGCCACCCCCTGCAAGCTGTGGTTGAAGCCATCGCCAAAGGTAAGACTTTTCAAACTGCTTGGCAAGGCTACCCCGTGTAAGCTTTGATTGAAGCTGTCGCCAAACGTGAGGCTTTTCAAGCTGCTAGGCAGCTCAACCTCCTGCAAGCTGTTGTTGAACGTTCTGCCGAACGCAAGGCTCTCCAAGCTGCTTGGCAACTCAACCTTCTGCATGGACTGATTGAACAGATCGCCGAACGTGAGGCTCTTCAAGCTGCTTGGCAAAACCACGCCCTCGAGGTTACGGTCAAACATACTGCCGAACGTAAGGCTCTTCAAGCTGCTTGGCAAACCCACCTCTTCCAGGTTTTGATTGAAGTTATTGCCGAACACAAGATTCGTCAACGTGTTCGGCAAGAATACCAGTTGCAAGCTGTGATTGAATGTGCAGCCCAACACTAGGCTCTGCAAGTTGGTTGGCCAAGCCATCCCTTGCAGAGATTGGTTGAAGTGGTAGCTAAAGGTAAGGCTCTGCAAGGTGCCCGGGAAAGCAATTCCCAGTAAGCTTTAGTTGAACAAGTAGCCTAACATGAGGTTTTGCAGGCTGCTCGGCAACTCCACTCCGTCGAAGCCTTGGTTAAATCGATCGCCAAACGCAAGGCTCTGCAGATTGGTTGGCCAAGCAATCCCTTGCAGAGATTGGTTGAAGCTGTGGCCAAATGTCAGGCTCTGTAAGCTGGTAGGTAACTCAACCCCCTTCAAGCTTCTGTTGAAAGCGCTGCCGAACGTCAAATTCTGCAAGCCGCTCGGCAGAGCCAGCCCCGCCAAGAAGGCATATGCAAATGTAAGGCTCTGCAAGCTGCCCGGCAAAGCCATCTGCGATCCCTTCTCAAACGTTCCGCCAAACGTGAGGTTCCGCAAGTCGCTAGGCAGAACCCCAGCCAAGCTTTGATGAAAAGGCTTGCCGAATGTGAGGCTCTGCAAGCTGGTGGGCAAAGTAGCCTCCTGTAGGCTTTGATTGAATGAGTCACCGAATACAAGACATTGCAAGCTGCTGGGCAGAGCCACCCCCTGCAAGCTGTGGTTGAAGCCATCGCCAAAGGTAAGACTTTTCAAGCTGCTTGGCAAGACTACCCCGTGTAAGCTTTGATTGAAGCGATCGCCAAATGTGAGGCTGCGCAAGCTGCTCGGCAAAGCAATCCCCCGGGCTTTGGTTGAAGTGGTACCCAAAAGTGAGACTTTGCCAGTTGCTTGGCAAAACTTTGCCCTCCATGTTTTGATTGAAGGCACTTCCAAACGCAAGGTTTTGCAAGCAGCTGGGCAAAGCGACTCCCCGCAGGCTTCGGTTAAACGCCTTGCCGAACGCGAGGCTTTCTAAGCTGCTTGGCAAAGCTACTCCATGTAAGCTGGCGTTGAATGCGCCATCAAACGCAAGGCTCTTCAAGTCACCGGGCAAAGCCACCCTCTGCAAGTGATGGATGAAAGGCTGCGCAAGCTGCTGGGAAAGGTTAAAAAATCCAAGCTTCTGTTGAAGAACCCCGTAAATACCAGATTTTGCAAAGTTGCAGGCAATCCTATATATGCAGCAGGTTTCCAAGATCACGTCTTGCCCATTTCAACTCTGTAACTCCTTCCAGTCCGTGCTCGTCTTGTCCGATGGCTTTGCAGGCAAACCAGGCCCTGAGCATGTCTGATTGGATGTAGGTGAACACCCCGTTGGGGGAGACCTGCAGGCCCTGATCTGCCAGCGTTCGATGCGGCACCAACTTGGCCTGCCCGAACCAAAGGCTCAGCAGCCCCCCTGGCCGCGGGGGCAACCTGGGCGACGAATCCGGCCCCTTAGCAGTGGCAACTTTTGACTGATTCACGCAAAGGAAAGACGGCACAAGATGGCACAAGGGTTCTGTAACGAGGCGTCAAGGACAAAAGCAAAACAAAGTGCACGTCCGCAGCTCCAGCTCGAACGTCGCAACTATTCAGTGCAAGCGCAGTACGCCAAGTGCAGGAACCGAGGATTCTGTCTTCCGGCCGCTCCTTGCTATCTGTTCCAACGTTTCTGCGGAATGGCGAGCTCTCTGCAAATTGACTCTTCACTGGTATGTCCAGCCAAAGCATGCTCACGAGTCTGCTTGTTGCAGGCACCCACCAGAAATCACTCAGAGTCCGGGTATGCATCGGGGTATGCAACGAGGGACACGTGAAGTATGTAACGGAGGTATCTAACAAGGGGTCTTGTTAATACATGTAACGGGTATGCAACGAATGTCCACCTCAGCTCTTTTATAGGGTTGGTCCCTTTTCAAAACAGGAATTGCTCATTTCCTAGGAATGGCTCTATTCTGGAAGCCTTGAACCACGGAAGGGTGGTGGTGGTGGTGGCGGTGGTGGCGGTGGTGGTGGTGGTGGTGAGGACGGGGGGGAGCCCCTCCAAGGCGCACCTCTCTCCTGGCGACGCCCGCTGTTCAAGCGTCATAGCAAAGTGCCACTTGGAGTTAATGGCTGCCCGGACTGCCCACCCGTAACAAACAAACCATGGACCTGTGCTTGATGAAATTGGCAGGCTTGCCGTCCGTGTTCAAGACGGCCCACACACACAGAACGACCAGCGCACAATCCGCTATCCTTCGTTGGCCAACCTCATGGTGTCGTGCGATGACTTTTTGCGAAAGAACCTTGTCAGGCTTGCCGTCCGTGTTCAGGACGGCCCACACACGCAACGACAAACCTCAAAATGAAATTGGCAGGCTTTTCATGCGTGCTCCAGGACGGCCAACGCACAATGAATCCTGCCAAAATCCTGAACACGGACGCCAAAGAATCAGCGGACGACACAGTGACGTTGGCCAACGAAGATCGCGGGATGTGGGACGTCGGTCGTTGTGTGTGTGTGTGTTGGCCGTCAGACAATAAGCCTATCATGTTTATTCCAACCAACCAACCCACCCAACCAATCCGCCCACATGAGCCACTCCTACACAAGAGCCATTACAAATCGATAAACAACAAGAAACGGCACCTTTCTTTCTTTTACAGACTCCTCAAATCCACACTGCTAAATTTCTCCGAGAAATGCTCTGTAAGCTTCAGCTCGTTAAAGGCCATGCTGTAAACGTGACATCAGCAACACACGACATGGGGAGAGCGGGCATCCTGAATCCGTATCAAACAAGGTTGGTTTACGGCAACGTTCTAATGCTATGATTCTATGATTAACTTGCCGTGTTGAATCTTGGCAAACGCTTTCTCTCAAGCGAGCAGTTCCAAATATATTCTCTTTCGCCCCTTTCATCTCTGCATAGTCCCGGATTCTGCAAAACATGAACAGAAGAAGGAACGATGCTACATATATGTGTGTCTGGAAAAATGTCGAAACACATGATCCATTCAATTTGCGGTATCATCTTTTGGCTGTGGGTCAAAAATGGATACCCCAAATGGAACCCGGTAAAATGGAAACATGGACTCAACCTGCGGTCCATATCCCGGTGGTTGAATTTTGACCCATACCCATATGTTGAGCTCATCTTGGTTTCCCGTTCAACTACCCAAAAGGGGGAAGTGGACTGTGAAAACGTATGGGCCGGAGCTCCAAACATACCCTGCTCGGCGCTGAAATGGTTCGCTTGAACGCCACGGAGCTTGGACCTCGCCAGCAGCTCGCTGCCCATCTCCCCGCGGCAGCTGAAGCGCAGCTCCGTGCCGTCCAGGCCCGCGATGCGGCACTCCATGGGATTTTTGGCCAAGCTCCCGAGTGCGGCAACGCAAACCCGGAAGGGTGCCAAGGAAAACCCGGGAAAACCAACAGAAACCCAGGCAAACCAAGAAAAACCCAAGGAAAAATAGAAGGGACATTTAGGAAAACCATGTCTCTAATTCCATGTACCTATGGGTTGGTGGTTTTGTTGAGGCTACCTGTTTCAGGTTGGTGTGTAGTATGAAACTAAAAGGAATTTGACACATACTCGAATGGGATTCCTCTTTCTACTCATCCTACAACAAGTGACCAAGGGGATGTCTTGTGTCATATGTCGCCTTGTTGATTGATTGTGCTTGAGCCAAGTCTGAATGAACATGTTCATTTTGACTTGTTTGCATACGTGTTATGTCGGGTAACATTTCCACTGGTATTTAGGGGCAACACGCTGGTGAGTGAAAGTGCCAACTGACACGGGTTCGAGCACTGCTGGCGCAAATACTGGATGATGGGATTCCGAAGTTCTTCGCGGCTACTTTGCACATTACTTGTAGCCAATGGCCAGCCTGCCCTGCAACTACTGGCTCTGCAATGCTGCCGTGTCTTAACCCCATGCCCAGCATATGTAGGCACAGGCCTACTGGCGCTTGCTTCGAGAAAATCAAGCATGACTTCCGTGGGAGACAGGCCAAAGAAGAAGGCGGCAACCACATTCAACCCCAACCCCTGGGTCGTGATAGTTTCACCACCTGGCAGGCCAACACACATGGACATCCCAAGCCACCCTTCCAACATCTGCCTTGGACAGCCGCGCCCGGTCCAGTAGCTCCTGGCGCTGGTCTCGGACCATTTCCAGGGCTTTCTACGAGGAAATTGCATGTCCGCCCAATTTCCCATTGAGATGGGCCTTCCAGCGGCGCATCCCCATAGTTCTGGGGTCGCCCCCCAAACAAACCTGAGGCCTTAGGCTGGGACAGGTCCAACGTGGGTTGCCAGCAAAAGCCGTCCAGATCCCAATTTCTGTCCCCACCAAAAGGCCAGATGGGAACGAATCAATGAAGAGACCCTTCGCAAACAACGTGCCGGGGAGGCCTACCTCCTGACCAAACAAGAAAACATAGGCCCCCGCTTCGGGGTAGCCAAAAAAGGCACCCAAAGGTGGCAGGGTCCAAGGGCCACAACTGAATAAGTTGAGGCGCCTAGAAATGTCATTGATGAATTTGGCTGGGCTGTGCCTTGACAGCCCCAAAAGTTGCAGGGAATATAACAAGCGATTCCTGGCGAAATCCTCACTTATGGAAGGATTGCCGCAGTCTTCCGGTTGGATGCCTCGCATGCTGCTTGCGCGTCTTGCATGCACAGCGTGCACTGTTCGAAAACGGATCGTGCAAGCCCTCAAGCGTTGAGGAGATGTCCAACCGTCACAGCCGCAATCACGGAGGCTGGCGTGGCCATGTAGCGGAACGAAACGGAACCACAGTGGGTGTGGTAGCCATGCTGGCTGCCGCCGTCATGTCATCCATGGCGGTGTCTCCGGCTCTCTCAGCGACTTCCCGAGGATCACACGTGGGTTGCCTCTAGCCACTAATTCGGCTTGGCTCCTCTGTGGCAGGGCGGAAAAGAAGTCACCCTACCCGTCAGGCCTACCCCAACTCACACCCATATGGGTATGAATTTTAATAAGGGACCCTTTGGTGGACATCATTTAGGTGGGATTCATGTCCACCAATCACTGTTGAGATGGTTCCATATTAAGCCTATGGAAACTTACAAGAAGATCATCAACATGCTAGTAAAAACAGAAATCCCCATGCAAGGCCCCCATTGAAATTCATCCACAAACGTAGCTGTGTAGTTGTGGCAAGTCCCTTTGTTGAATTTGTGTTTGTGTTGTATTCCGAGACTGGCAAACACGTGTGGGTGGCTCCCTAGCAAACTCAAATCCACATTGTAGCAAGTTGATTTGTGACGCTGATTGAACAAGCAACACCCTTTTGGCAGATTCCCCAAAGTTGCCGCGCATCCCCCCCAAATCATGGGCTATTGTTTGGAGGGTACCCTTTGTGGTCGTTCAACAGGGAACCGCCAGCATGCTGTTTTAGCATGTCTTCCACGTGCGCGTGCCTCTCGCAGCTCAGTGCTGCAGTGCGCGATCCGCAACTCGAGGCCTCGAATCGGCACTCTGCGTTTCTCCAAATGGACACATTCGCATCTTTCTTGATGGAAACCAAAGTCAAACCAACCATTATAGGGGCCACATCCGTTCCGGAGAAACTCTCTAGATATCTCTAGATGTATGAACCCATGAATGCCTGGTAGGAACCCCGAGAAGGGTTTATTAGCTATTTATGTTGGCTCAATTGTGAAACAAACTAACCACAAGACGCGTCCAACATGACCATGGTCTGGTACCTAGGTCTTCCCAGGGCACTTTTTTTTAATGTGTTTTTCCGTTTCGAGAAACCCACAGACTCATTTCACCCAAAAAACGCTCAACTAGACAAAGGACGCTCAATTGAAAAAGTGTATCCGCACATGGCCGCTCATTTCCCGCTACTTTCCGCTCATTTCTCGCCGATGTCCGCGCATTTTCCACGAGAAATCTTGCCCAATCAATATGTTTGCTCATTTCACGTTGTTCCGCTCCAAATCTAAAACAAGCAAAAATAATGCCCAGAGCCTTAAAAAGTGACCACATGGAAAATTTAGGTATATGGGCATATACACATTAGCTGTGAATTTAGGACCTGCTTGTCAAAACCAGCTTGGGCTCGCGCTAAATTATGGGTCTGTTTCAAGCAGGAGTTGTTCTTGTATCGCTTTCTCCAATCCCCGCTCCAAATGCAAATCATTTCTTGTGCATGTGTGACATCTAGGTCTGACAGCAACACACACATTTGTATCAGAGCCAACACAAGTTACTTGTTCCACTCATTAGTCGAGACTGGTTGAATGACCCTCAATGACCATCGACCAAGACTAAAACATCATCAAGTGTTGGCTGCGGTTCATTCCTAGACCAAGTCCTGTTTGCTGAACTTTGGTGATCTGCGAGCCAAGCATCGAATGAGGCTAATTATGCATTGGACTGTCGCCCAGCCAGGGGCACAAAGAGTGGATGACGAGTTCAAAGACAGACCAGCACTGGTTCAGTTCAACTAGGGGTGACTTTCTGGATGGCTTGCCTTGCCGGCAATTGGCTGCAGGACCCCCTCCCGAGCCTGGTTCTGGTTGCAGACTCAAACTCTGAAGATAACACAAACAAAGTGCCAACAACATAAACTTGATAGCTCGAAACCCGCGGCTTGCCCAGGAAAGACCTAGGATCAGCGAAGTACACCTGCCGTTTGGTTGATACCGTCCATTCCAGCCAACGTGCCTGGAATCCATCCGGAGGCACCCGACGCTGGAGCTCTGCGGCGTCCGCTTTGCCCTCGCTCCTGGCGATCCGCACGCAACTTGGGGCGAAGCAGCCCGGAGAAAAAGGCACCCCTTTTTCTGGAGAGTCCCACATTGCGTTTTCATCTCTTTCTTTCTTTTTTTTTGGGGGGGGGGGGCAGGGGCAGGGGGCCATGTGAACTTGCAGGGGAAGCAGGGGGGTGTGAAGGTCCCGCCCAGGGAAAGGGCTGCTTGGATTCATTGGCGTGCCGAGTAATGGACCATGCGGGAATCTCAGGTGAAAATATCAGGCTGAAGGACTCCTGCAAACTCCAGCCACGTCCAGGTGCATGGACAGGAGCTATACTCAGACACTCTAGAGAAATGTCAGGTTTCCCATGCCATCAATTCCACACATTTTCCTGGCAACCTCAATGAGTCCTATCTCACTTTGCCAGAGAACATACAAATTTAGAGGCTGGGGCTTCAAAGCACGTGTATGTATATATATATATATTCGTATATATATATATATATATTCGCACTTGTGGATCGCAGTAAAATCAAACTGAGGTGACTGCGAATGGTGGGTGCGTCTATTTGAGGGTATCCTGTTGGGATTGTTGAGGATAGCAAAGGACGACTCTCATTTCTGGGCTTCCCTTTGGAAGCACGCATGATCTCAAACCCGTTCTCTTCGGAACTCTTGAGCGCATTTGGACGCGACTATTTGCCTGACGCAGGCGTGCCCCCCTCCACTTGGGCAACATGAACTGAGGAACAAGCATGTCAAACACAAACCCATGAGTCAGAAGATATTCTAAACCTCATCCTCTTATGAGTTGCTTTAAGGGCCTGCAAGTGCTTTCGCAAATGAATTCCACACGTATTGTCCCAAGGTGGGGCACGTGTTAGATGCACGTCAGCAAAAACAATGTCTAACACTTTCCCACTTTGAGGCCTCTTGGCCAGCTCCGACTCTTTGGCCAGCAGCTGCTCTTGCAACTTCTGGAGGTCCTGGCCAGTCTGGGCCCATTGTCTCTCATCAGTCCATCAGTTTCCTGCACTCGGTGGTTTGGATTGGGTTTAGCCTCTACAAGAACCAGAGGTACAACCCGGTAACCCCTACCCCACCCCCCCCCCCCCCACAAAAAAAAGAAGTTGTCTACAATCCCTATCGGGAAATACTTAGGAATCCCCTTTTGGACAAATAGATCGCACTTTCAAAGTCGGAACCAATCCGAAACCACTGGATTCCATATTTCAACCAAACTGACAAAAGGTAAGGACACCAATGTGCGTGTGCCTTTATTGGAGGAGGAAACCAAAGGCTCCTGAAAAGGCCACCAATGAAGGTAACTCGCTTGCAGGCCTTGGAGAGGCGCTCCCGGCCATCCGCCAGCTCCTGCAGCCAACGTCTCAAGAGACCCTGTCGCTGCTTCTTCGCCATCCGGACTCTTGAAAGGGATAGAAACAATCTCAGGACTCTAGGGGCCGTTCCCCGGATTGAGGGCATCTCCCAAAATAAAAGGAGACCACTAGGCAGGAAAATGAAAGAAAAAAAACGGCTATTGATGGAAAGGTCGCAAAGCCTGCATGAAGCAAGGTATCGCACGCAATCTTGCAGGAGTGCGGAGCCTAAGCAAAATACAAACGCCGGGTGTAGATTGTCTGTGTGTGGTGGCTACGAGTGCCAAGTATGTTTCAGTTGGGCCCCAGTACTGCGTGCGCCAATTCGATCACTGGTCCAATCTTGAGTACGTCATGGAAGCCTCCAGCGAAAACAAACAAGCTGGTCATCGACTTCCCGGATTAGAACAACGTGATCAAACATGTATGCACTTGTGCGATGGTGAGCGGCAGCTTTTGGAAAAGAACGTGTCCATGCCAGTGCAGTTTCCTCTGGGGACAACCAAACAATCAAGGTCATTCGGAACTGCTGAAACACGGAAACAAGAGGAAGTGTATATGTATATATATATATAGTTCTGTGCATATATATATATATATATACGCAGTAGCTGGGAGTTCCTGTGGGAACTTGAAAGTGCATCAAAAGGGCCTAAACAAACAGCTCGAATCCCCAAAGCACCAAATGCACATCCACCAGTCAAGGATAGATTGACTCAACCACCAGCTGAACACCAAAAAACCTCGGGTGAAGCCGGACATCAGCCTTCCTCCAACTGAGTCTGCGGTGGCAGCATCTTCTGCAACCGCGACAAGGACTCACTGAGCTCTCGACCTTGGAGAGTTGCCACAATGAGTCTCCCGAGGAATCGCTCGATGCTAACAAACAAATCTGCATAACATGGCGGCTTCATGTGTCTCCTTGAGTTGGCGCATCCTCTGCAATTCCATGAGAACAGCTTCCCATGTTCTAGCACATCCTCAATGACGTGCAGGCATCCTGCGCTCATGCCGATGCCAGCAATAGACAGTGTCACTGGCTCGCTGACAGGCGAACACCTGTATTACTCAGAAACACATATAATTGGAATAGTCAATTTGTTGACTCTCGTTCCTGAGGATGCGATGTGCTTCTGTTCATTCTGTGGCCATTGATATTATCGTCGGTACACGCACGCCCACACGCAACGGTTCAACAGAAACATCGGAGTTGTCAACGGGCTTGCAATCACAAGGCAAATGCACATAGTCGTGCAATGTTCAGGTTGCAATGGAGACCTTCCAACTCAATTCAGTGAGACCTCAACGCAATAGTCAGTCTTGCTCCGGCCTTCTCTGTAACTCCACAGGCCATCCTGCCATCGCATCTACGAGTCCCAGACTCTTTGCAGTGGATTAGCCTTCACTACTTTGGACGTCATCAATGACGTCAAACCCACATTGTGAACCATGAAAACGAGGTTGCGCAGGACCAGAAGGACCATGCAGCACCCAGAACCACCAAACCCTGGCGGGACACTCCGGTTCACCTTAGCCCCTGGCACTTAGCAGTGTTTGCCGATGTCTCCTGCCTTGCCAAGCGGGGCAAGTTGCCACACCCCGAGACCCACCGCAGTGTGGCTGTGGATGTACGCACATATACAAACATATATGTGTATTCTATATATACTCCTACATACATACATATATATATATATATATTATGCTGTGATGCTTTATGATATGACGTGTTTGAAACCCTTTGGCTCATACGGAAACAGGGATTGATTGCAGAGCCTTGTTGCATGGACGCAAAATGGACACAAAGGCAACAACTATCTGTGCATCTCGGTGTTGTCAACATCTGTCAGAGCAGCCACTAGTAACCGTGACGGATGAACGTCTGCACACGGGATGGAAACCCTCGCTGATGTCTGACGTACCAATGCTAGACAGTTGCAAGATTTGAGACGCAAGTCAAACATTCGCTGGCTGTAGATGTGCAACTGGACATGAGTATAATTCCAGCACGACCGATTGAAACTGCAACTGCGTATCTCCCAATTTGTGATCATATTTACCGCATTTCCGATCCAATCGTCTACGGATGTCTACGCTGAATTAGTGCTGTCCTTTTCTCAATATTGACCATGTGATGTCTGGACGGGCTTTGATAGAAGGGATCCTTCCCTGGGCAAGCGGTGTTCGCAACGATCGCGTGTCTGCATGAATGTCATTGCCTCCAACATGCGGTTCCCAAACCTATCAATCCCAAACACCTGGGACCGTCTGGGACTATCTGGGAATACGTGAGCGCAAAGTGAATCTTTGGTTGTGCATTGGCAAAAGCAAACTTTTCACAGGGTCCAAAAGATTGCTGTACTCCCTAGCGAGAGCCCCCTGACTTGTTGTGGGCGAGATAAGAGAGAGCGAGCTTCTTCCCCTGCGTTCCGTATCCCTCACAAATTGGCCGGCACCCCCGCCCAAACCGCCGGCCCGCCTCACGGAGGCCAGTTGAGTCTCGGTCTGAGCCCCGCGTTGATGGGCCTGGTGCAACTCTCGGCCGCCATCGTTCCCAAGCATTGGCCACGAATCGTAGGTGGCGAGGTTGCTGAAGAAACAAGCAAGTACTCAAACTAAATGGCCGCAAATCCCGAAAAGTTGCCGCGCACTCTATGGACAGGCATTGTTGGAGCAACAACCGACTTCCCAATGAAGAAGGTGCTTCAGTGGCCGTGGCAGGAACACGGCCACAGTCCGCAAAAAGGTATAGTTCGAGGAGTCTACCAGAACATCTTGAGGGTGAAAAGAACAGACTCCCCGGAATGGATGGTGGCTTGGTTCACCAAACAAAGTAAACCCAAAGACCAGAAAGGTATGTCCTGTGGTGGGCTGTCTTGGCCCAAGCACTTTTGTCTACCGCTTGCTCCCAAAATGAGGCAGACCTAGATGGAAAAAACGGCCACTCAACAGGTTCCCTTCTCCATTAAAACAAAAACAGAGCAAGGTCAAGCTCGAACATCCTCTTCAGCTTCCACTGCCTCCCCGCTCTGCTGTGCCAGAGATTGCTGCAAAGCCGAGAAATCGCCTGGCGCAACATACGCCCCCCCCCCCCAATTATAAAAATTCCGCCAACAAATATATTATTTGTTTGGGGGGGTTTTCGGGTTGTTGTTTTTTTTCTTCCAACAATGTGAGGGTTCACATAGGAGTTGGAGGAAATGGATTGAATTGTAAGGTCCGCGAGCAAGCGGTTTAATAAGGAAACTTTATGTATCATTCTATTTGCTTTTTAGTTTACTGGTTGTTTGTTTGCAGCCAGGCAGGTTAGGTAATTAATTAGCCAGCATGTACGGGAGAGAGACAGTCGCAGCTAGACAGCGTTTGGGGACATGTTTCTTTTGAGGGACGCCACCCCAACCTTTTGGGGAACCCACCTTTTTAAAAGTAGGGCTGGAAGCTTGTTAAAAGTGCCCCGTAATAAGGATTCCAAGACTTTAGTAAGGGTTTAGTATTGGCTCAATTAAAAATCAATTGTGCGGAGTGGAAATCTGGTCCCGGGCCCCGGATTTCGATTTTTTTATTAATTGGGGCCATTCATTAGTAGGGGGAAAGGATTATGCAGCAGGAAACCAACCCCTCTCTGGTGAAGTGCCCGACAAGGCAACCAACCAACCATGTGTACAAGTGTATCTATCTATATAGATACACATACACAAGTATACATGAAGCATAGGTCTCTTGGAAGACACAAGAATGATCCGCCAGCCAGGCTTCAGGCGCGCTTCGAAAATGTACAAATCCTTACAAAGACTGCAAACAACAATTCAGAATGCGCTTAACACACACATATAGCCAGGCAGCTGTGCAATCTCTTCCGTTGGAAAATGGCATGCCTTTCTCCTTTGAAACCACCAAGTGTGAGGGACCACACCTACAAACATTCTTATGAGGGGTCCTCTGCTTGGGGGTCCTCGCTTTCCGCGTTAGCTGTCTTCATGGGCCGCCCTTTCGTGACATGTGAAAGCGCAGGCTGATTTCGCTGCAATAGAAGCAGCAAATATTAGGAACTTCCTTGACCCACACATTGCACTTCCCCAGGTATGTGACCGACAACGGCGAACACTAACACGAACATAACACAGTATCTGTCCAGCACTTTCCTGGCTGGAACATGGTCAGCATTGCAGAGTTCACACACTGGAAGCGCTGTCAACCGGCAGACAGGCAGACATGTTAATGACACAAATAGCATTTGCATTTTTGCTTGGTCAAGCACTAGTGAGTGGTTGGCCTTGATTGGTTCAGCGGTGAAAGATTTCTTGTTGCGATGGGGTGTATTATAGTCAGAAGCAGCCGCCCTGAAGGGATCCATCTAAACAAAACACCATCATAGGAGAGGTCACCTGCTTCACCCTGTGCAGCCGCCATGAATTGGCCACTGCAATGCTTGCCAATGTGCCAGCGACAAGGACTTGATCGTGATCCAATCAACCGTGTGGCCTGCAAATGGGGCTGCGCGAAACACACTGAATGCTCTCGAACACGCCACTATCCGGGCAAAGTGTCGCCCGGATATGTGCAAAGACCTGCTTTGTGATGTCCGTCTCAATTGATTAGATTCTCAACAGGTGAAAAGACCAAGAACCATGTTCAATCAGTAATGAACTCCTTGCATGCAAGAAACTGTTGGTCCTTCAATGTGGGCACATAGTCAATGGTCGAAACATACACATGACCAAGGGCACCCCCCCCCCCCCAACATCCGCTCTCAGCTGCCCCGACCTTGCAGCTGTGTGAAAGTTGCGACGCTTTCTTTGAGCGCCTGCAAAGCCGCACGCGCGCGGTCAAAAGCGGAACCAACAAGTGTATGAAGAAGGCGATAGCCTGAACAAAACCTCGTGGTGAAACAAAACCCTTATCCAAAGCCAAGGCAAGCACAACCCAAGTTTACTAGCCTGGCATTGACAACCACTAGTCCAGTGGCACCTTGGTGTGGGAAAGGATACTGGCACGAAGCTCTGTACCTTGCCAAACTATGGATAAGGCACTTTCTGGACTCGATGAGCCTCCAGGCCAAAAAGCTTGCCAAAAGATCCGTCTAAGCACTGGGTCCCTCTTGGTTTTGTGCGTAGTTTTTGTACGTGATCGTGGTTGAGCGACGAGCGACGGCGAACGTTTGCTCCTGAACTGAAGGTACATATAGAAACAACATGAAGATCATAAGTGGATTCTTGCCAAAATCCTCCAACGAACCGAACGCAAACAATCAGTAGCCTTCTCCGCGGTCTCCTCCACCATCTGTCCTCAGCCCAGAATGAAGAAGCTGGCAAACACATGGAAGCACAACCTCCATTATGAGACCACTGATTTGGAGAAAACGTATAGCCAGACATGGATGTATATAGCAGGCAAAGCTTCGGCATGCAAAGCACACCCTGCACAAACAACACGTGAAACGCAGGGGGCCGTTTCCACCCATATCTTACACGCACGATGCTAAATGGGCTATGCAGCTAGCCCTTCAACGAGCTGTGACGGTTTGGTTTGCAGGATGGTTGCTGCCAATCTGAACAGAGATGCAATGAAACAGTCAACGGACTTCAATCAAGTCTGTGGGGGGTGGCATATAAGTATGTCTGGGGGGCTATGGTGGTATTTTTCTGCGTGAATTATAATATTCACCAACCTGAAATAAGGTGGTTGGGCGGCTATTCCCCACATAAACCACCATTTGGGGTGCCATCGGTCGTGTGAGGTCGTAATAATTCACCCAGCTATTTTCAATGGAACAGTCAACAATATGTATGTATGCATTTTTGGGGGGCTATGGTCGCCTTTTTTCAATGGAATAGGAATGCCCAACATCTCCTGGGTGCCACACGGAGAACCGGCTCCTCCAGATCCTCCAGGCGCGCGTGCAGCCGCGCTTGGTCGCTCTCCTGAGCGACTGCCATGGACGATGCGTAGGGATCATTTGGCTGTGGGTCAAAACCCTGTAAACCATTTGGGGTAGGTGCACCACCCATTTGAGTCTATTTTAGTGGGGATTGGGATGTTCACCAGGGGCCATTGGTTTTGACCCACAGTCATTTCGCTGGTGGTCAAAAATGGGGGAACCCCAAAATGGCTTGCCCTGGTAAATGGAACCCAGGACTAAAACCTGGGTCGTAATCTTGACCCACACCCATTTCTTCTTGCTCCGTCGGGGCTACGCTAAAACATGTGTGCCATGGACAACAAATCCAAAACTGGGTGTAGAGGAAGATCTAAAAGCCCATCCACATGCAAAACAGACACAAGCGAAACAATTCTCCTGACCATGGCATGACAAAAATCTAATTTGCAAGAGATGCCCGAGGCTGTTTCTGCTTGCCGCTTGTGAGCTCTGCAACATCATAATAACCCCCCCCCCCCCCCCGAAAATATCCCAAGCATGCCCAACCCATAGTGACATCTACGAAGTTGCCTTAAAGCTTCTTCAACCTGGCTCCCCTAAAGTGAGCAGACTGAGAACCTTTTGGGATCTTTCCCTGTAGACCACCATTTAGAGGGCACGACCCGCCGGGCAACTTACACCACATCCCATGAACTTAGCCCACGAGCTGGCACACCGCTTGCCCCACATCAAGAACCTAGCCCGTTTGCAAAACTGCGTGGCACACCACACAAAATGAGTGCTTATGTAACTTCCATCAAATCAAATCCTGCTGGTGCGCAGTTGCACAAAACAAGGAATCCAGCTCCCATGCGCTTACTTGACTTAGCCTTCTCAATCAACATCTTGGCCAAAGGCAGTGTGCCATTGCGTCTTGTGACGGGAATGGCCCTTAACATCCCACAGTGCCCCTTCGCCAAACACCCTGAAAGTATCCGGTCCCCCATGGCACAACGCACATGGCGCAAGTTCATGCCTCCCTTTTTGGCCAACTTGCAGCTGAGGCGCGAGTTTCTGCATCGCATCCTGAAACTCCAGGCTGGTGTGTTCGTGGGCGGTGTCTATCCTTGGCCATTCGACTTGCTCAACGCAGCCAGCGACATGTTGAAGCGTGCTTCGAAGACCCCAAGGCTGCTGCTGTGTCTCGAACACTGCAAGCAACCTGATCAAATTGTGTTGCTGACAATCTGGTTACATGTCAACCAATCGAGCGCAGAAATGCGGGTCACCAAGAAGGCAATTATACAGGCTTCCACTGGAGGATCAACAGCGTGCTTCCAGGCTCTGACAGCAACCCGCGACGTCCAAAGCGGCGATTCAAGCATGTGTTGCCAACTAAGCGTACCAAGTGTCCAGAACATCGGCAACAGCGAGAAAACATCGCAAAGGACCTACAGTAAAAAGCCATACATAGTATTTTGAAGAACAACAAAGCACGGCAACTGTTGCAACGTTGCTTGGGTCTCCAGGTGAGCCCCATGGGCAAGCTCGAACATTGATTGCACAGCTACGTCACACATCTCCAAGTGTCAGCAGAATCATGCATAAGCGGCTGCCAACAGTGAAGGATATGGTTGCTTCAGTCTCGGGACACCTCTACAAAGCTAAACGAGCAGCCGCGTACCTTGCCCCATGCCATCAGGCCAGCACCGAGGAGGACGCGGGAAACAAGCCAAGTGACACATGCGCTGCTCTAGCCTATTTGTGAACCGAGCCAGCTACATCAGGACGCCCCCACTCGAACAGAGGAACCACATGCTCACCCATGATAACCCAGCTTTCGATCATAGTGACTCAACTTCTGTGGCAGCTGGGGGCCCGGTTTGGGCGAGCTTCCCCGTTTTCCCGCGCCGCGCCGGGGCGTCGGCGCCGAGCGAAGGCCCCGCGATTCTTTGGACAGCTCGGCCACGGTTGCCTGGAAGTCCCGCACCAGGGCGCGGGATCCGAAAGCAAAACCGGCGAGCCAAGGGCACGAGTATAGACTCACCACAAGTTCTTGTCAAGAGAATGGCATGGGGTGCACTCATCGAAATACAAATGGAATACAGGGTCACTTCATGAGCAATCCGATGTCACGGGGACACAACTAGTATCTATCCAGTTGACCCTCGAGCGTCGCCAAGTGCTGGAGATGTTGAGGGAATCGATGGAACTCGACAAGAGGGTTACAGTATGGGATCAACGCACAAATGCATGGAGCGTATCCGGCAAATGCTGTCCTCGGCATGCCTAAAGCTAACAAAGCCATGGAGACTGTCAGTAGAGGCATAGAATGGGCAACGGAATTTGTTAAGCTACCAACAAGCTCTGCCAGAGGCTGTGCAAAACACCTAGCCTGCACAGCCCATCGGATGGCAGTGGCAGATGGTTTGATAAATGCTTGAAACCACCTCAGCAGAAAATCCCAAAACAACGCAAATGCAACTACCAAGTATCACAATACCTGCAAAACAGTGACGATGCTTTGCCAACAAATAGAACATATCAACAAACAAGTATGCTTGAAAGTCCACAAAGAATAAGGCGAGGAACTTTAGACCGCAACATTTGACAATACAATGGGCCGAAACTCCTGTGAGGTAGACGCTGCTATCACTGACTTTGGTGTGTGGGACCCCATTGCCGCTGAAACACTTCTCTCCAAAACCTGAGTTTGCGTCCGATGCCAAATCAGGTCCTGGTTTCTGGGCCGCACGCCTCCAGCCGCTCCACTCGTAGCTCCACCTCTGCCTGCCCAAGGTGCTGAGCTTGGCAGTGAATCGAGTTTCTAGTGTCAACCCCACGATGGGGGCCGCAGCCGTCTATTTAGAAACAGTTTCGCAAATCAAACAGCGGCAATTATTTTGTCTGCAGTGCTGAGCCGGTGCAATTGAGCCGGTGTGCTACCAATTGGAAGGCGTGCAAACAGTGCTGAGCGAGTGCACACATGAGCGAGCTGACCATTTGGCGGGCGTGTGAGCAGTGCTGAGCGGGTGCACTTGAGTGCGTGTGCGTAGGATTGGACAGGCGTTCGCGCAGTGCCGAGCGGGTGCACTTGCGCGGGCATGCTTTCCGTTTGGAAGATGTGTGTGTGTGTATAGCTGCTACCTTGTCCTTGCTTCCTAGATTTGAATCGGGGCACACTCTCGCAAGTCGGATACTTACTGGCGGTGTATCCACTTTGTTGCAAACTCCAACTCCACAACAATGAACTGCTGCGGACGTAGACGCGTCTCCAAACCAGGACCGTCCTTGAGGGTGGACTCCCTCCTTGGCTTGTTCCCCCAAAAAGCATTTCCGAAGACTCCACCCGCATCCGATCTGCTCAGAATGTAGCCAGCTCCCCAAACCATGACATGACATCTCCGAACCATGTCATCTTGTTCGAATCTAAGGTTCCGCGCGGGGTTTGAGTCACAGTGTTCGATGCCTACTCACGCAACAACTGGACTGGCATCATGACAAAACCATCAGAATGATGAAATGACACCTGAACATGAACACATCTGAACATCCTGCCCCACCATAGTTGTTTCCTCAGAAACTTCAGAACAAATAGGCCTGTTATGTATGCATGACAGAAAGGAAATACCCCAAACACTCGCTGGGGCCTAAGTCCCGTCAACACAAAAAAGCTAGTCCAGCAAGCAAGCAACCGTCAGGATCCCTGAATCCATATCCGTATAACTTCCTTTGCACTACTCCAATGACATCGATGTCCATACCCCCATCCACTCGAAACAATCCAGGAACCGGCAGGCTGACCCTCAAAAGACCCACAAGGCCCGCCTCCGTCGCCTCAGCTTCCGCGACCGCTTCCCACTTCGCCTGGAAAGGACCTTTAACAAATCCCATAGCCTTTTTGACCGTAGCAATAGCTCGCAATCCTGGACTGCTATCGTTAGAACCAAACCATGAGCCCCAAAGAAACCTAACCTCTGGCAATTGCGCTCGGAGGGCAGCAGCAATGAAACTGGCGAAGCATGGCGATGGAACACATGGTCTCCAAACAAGAAATGGTTGGCGTCCCTTTGCTTTGCGTTTGCCACCAACCCGAAATCAGGTCCAAGGGATACTCTAAGCAAATATACCAATAATGCTCATCTTTGAAGTTGAAACAGTGCGTTTAGCTGTCCTCTTCAGAGTTTGTTCGGAGGAGAATTCCAAGGGTGTGTGGGGCTCAACAAATAGACCTTGTTTCCAATGATGTAGGCATGGAGGCAAGGAATAATAGGAATATTAGTGTCTAGTATTCGGGGATGGATTACACTCGGGGCTCAAAGGATACGCAGCACTCTCCAACATGGACTCGCCAGTGACCTAGTTAAGAATAGGCCTAATTGTGCCGTTGATATCCGTGCCAAACCTATCTTATTGGAATGGTACAGCAGCAATCGCTTACCCACGCTACCCAGTGCATCCAGTTACCACTGTTGTGGTATCTGCGCTTTCCACTCTTTGCGGCCGTAGATGCCCTGCTTTGGGATGAAATGCGGCTAGTGACTCAAAACTGGCAATCCTCTGGACGATCTTAAGAGAAACTAATCCGACACCAGGCATTGCAAGCTAGCACACACAAATCATGTCTGCACAAATATACATGACTTTGCCAAAAATGGTCCGACTCCATGTCACAGCCATTTGGAGGGCAATTTAACGCGTACAATTCAGGCCTTTATTCTAGTGGGTTCCGATATATACATGGGACAGAGTTCGGCTATGCAGCTCCACTGCTTTCCTTGCCTCCAACTGGTCAAGCCGCTGTAGCACGTGTCCCTGCAAACGCGGAGGCTGGGTTGATTGTTGGGAGCCGAGGCCCACCCCGGAAAACCAAGACAACTGTGCAGCTAGCTGGCAAAAACAAACTAAACAAACTCCCAACACAAAAATGTAAAAGAAAGCGGACAATGTCTATGCTCGCTTAATCAGCTGGATTAGACAGAACTGGCATGCACTCCAGCCTCCAGCCCCTCCATTCTGCCGACGAGCTTCTGGAGTGATACAGCCTTGCAGCATCGCCAACACTCGACATCTTGCTATGACATCCTCAGTTCGCTGGGAAGGATTGGAACATGTCAAGAGGCAGCAACTACGACTGGCCACAAGGATGTGGATATGTTGTTGGAATCGGCTGGGCCCTTGGGTTGAAGTCATTTAAATGCGGGCTCACACCCACCAACCATTTGAAGGTAGTTCTACTCATGTGTTGTGCCACTTGGGGCACTTGACAGCCGCAAACCATCCGCGGCCTCCTCTTCGATTCGATCCAGCTGGCGTGAGCCATTGGCCTGTGCGGGAATTGCGCAAGTCCTCGTCTTCATGACAGGCAATGAACAAACACCGCACCAACAGCTGATGCAGCAGCCAAAGCCAAAGCTAGACCTCAATCGCTCCGGATAGTCACAAGTCACGCGCAACTGTGCAAGAAGCCGTGGACAGTAGCAATCACAACGGCACACCCACCGCTCGATGCCTCCAGTCGCTCCACTCTGCCGAGCAGCTGCTGCGACGATGCCTTCATACAAAGCTACCATCGATCGAGGGCGGAACACGCCCGTTTGCTGCGGAGATGCCGAACAGCAAGAAGCACAAGTGAGTCAATACTCATGATTCTGAAGTTGCACACAAGCACTTGACGCAAAGACAAGCACATTGCAGCCAAGCAGTACTCTCGAGACTGCCGGTCACATGCCCTGCCTCCTGGGCTGATCTCTCCAGCAGGTCAGATATGCTAGCCTGCGCCGGCTGCGCAGTACAAGCACGACAAATTGGACCCTTGCCCCTGCGAGTGTGGTGGGGTGGGGGGAAGGGGCACAGCTCGAATGACAGCACTCCTTCACGGGTTGCGCAAAATCTGTTCGATCCGATCTTTGGACTGCTGCTAGCAGTGCCTGCAATCGTGGGTCGTGAGACTCTGGGAAAGCGTCCTCGCGATACTGATGAGCATCGCTGATTGAATTCTTCAATATATATATATATATAGATGACGACGAAATCCTTAAACTTGCCAATTCAGCACTGGCATGCAAATGAAATGACTTTTTACAATCCGAGCCAGCCTCCAGTCGCTCAATTCTATTGACCAGCTGCTGAAGAGACGAAGCCTGGCAAGACTACGGCCCGAGTCGCCTTGATGTCTCCGGTGGCCGTCCAACGTTTTGTTCCTGACCGAAAATCCAACGGGCTTGCTGGAGCGCAAAGGCCCTGCTTCGAACCACTGCAGCAAACTACAACTTGGAGATGGCAATGTGAACGTCTGTAATGTCATCCTCCTAAACATGTCGCAACATGTTTCTGCTTCGAAGTCCCCCCATGGCTCGCTCCTGCCTCCTGGCTCACTCTGTCGAGCTGCTGAGGCCCACTAGCCTGGCCAGTGTGAACACAGGGAACATGTCTTAAGATGGCAGAAATTGCAGGTCCCGAAATCGTTCAGGTCTTGCTATGAATTGAGGCAAAGCACCAGCCTCCAGTAGCTCAACTCTGTTGACCAGCTGCTGAAGCGACGCTGCCTGTCAAGGTGACCGCCAAGTTGCTTGCTCCTGATTAAAACCATAGCGGGCTTGCTCTACATCAAGCACCGGTAGCAAAACCACGACTTGAACGAAGCGGATGTCGGCTTCCTGAACACCGTCAATTCACCTCAAAATGTCGCCGCATATCGGCTCCTCCCTGCCTGCTGGTCAAGCTGCTGGGGCCCACCAGCCTGGCCAGTGCGAACGTAAGCAAACGAATGGAAAATGCTCCAAACTGTATCAACATGAAGACCCTGGCAGCGTTCAGTGCGAGGAGGCATTGCAGTGGGTGAAGGCAAAGAGGACGTGGTAAAATTGGTCACTCTGGCTTGTCTTATACTATGGGTGGTCGTCCTCCGAACCAATGGTAGGCTACCAATGATATTGGCCGTGATGCATATCAGCACCATGAAGCATCATTGAGTCTTTTGCATTGCATTGAGTCGAGAGAAAGGAACCATGGACTGTGTTCGTGCAAAGATTGACTGCCCGCAGCTGTCTGAAAGAAGGCCAGGCAGGTTAACAATGTTCACCCTTGTCTGCAACACACACAGACACAAAAAAAAACAATGGGCACATCTTGAAGAAAAGAAAGGACTGCATATAATGACCTAGACCTTCAAACGTACCTGAAATTTCTGGCTCCCCTGTCAATCAGCTGGTTTTTGGATTTCGTACCCTTTTCTCTGGGCTTGTCCTCTGTTTTGGACCTCGAGCAGTTTTTGAAGGCATGCGGGCTGTCAGGTCCTATTATGACCTACTCGAGCAGGACATGTGTGCAAAGACGCCCGCAACGGCCCGCAAAACGAGCGCAAAAACCCGCAAACGAGCGCAAAATTGAAAAGTGCTCATGAAAATATGAACCTCGGGCACTTTTCCATTGCTCGGGCAGAAATTGAAGAATCGGGCACAAACTCTGTGTTCGAGCGGGAAAAAAAGCGAGCAAAAAAAAAGATCAATGGAAGGTCCAGGGATCGATGATTCCTGCCTTCACTGTCACCTCAGTCTCGCTCCCCGCAAATAATATTGAAACAGGAGTCAATAAACATGTAAGATAAATAAATAAGATACTGGATTATAATTCCGGATTAACATGTAAATGACATGGTTTTGTTATAATTAATCATAGTAATTAAAAAACCAACAAACAATGCAAAACATATTATATATATATATAATAGTGTAAAAGTTAAAAACAACAAGTAACAATGAAAAACAAACAAATTATGATTTAATCAATAATACAAACTGGTTGTCTAACTCAAAGTGTACGTTTGCTTTAGCATTCATTCCGTTCTTATTCCTTCAAAGGCTCACTCCTAAACATTATAAACTGCATCAATTGACTGAGTCCAGACCCGCAAACTGTACAAGAACGCCTCGAGTCGGCCTCAAGTCGCTCCACTCTATTGACCAGCTGCTGAAGCGATGCAACCTGGCAAGACGATGGCCCCAGTCGACCTGTCCTGGTCGGCGAATGGTGTGCTCCTGAAAAAGCCTACATTTTGCTAGAAGGCAAGGGCTGCAAACCAAACCACGGCATCAAAAAGCAATTGCGCGAAGCCAATGTCAACGCCTGCAACGTGGTTTCTCACCACATCGCGGCTGTCCTTGTGGTCAATTCCGGCCACGGCTCCCCCCTGCCTCCTGGCTGACTCTGTCAAGCTGCTGAGGCCCGCTAGCCTGACCAATGCGACCGCCAGCAAACAGTGGGACAACGCCCAGGCTTCCACAACTCACGGCTTCAGTGCCAACAACATTCATGAAGGAACTACAATGAGAATTGGAGTTGTATGATTAGAATTGGGGTTTGTACATTGTTATAAGTTTTTGCGAACAGGGCGGCAGGTGAGTCAAATATTTATCTCCATTAAACTATGCAAACTGCAGCGTTGAAATACAACTGCCGGCCATATCCTGACAACTCAACATTCAGCAGGCCAAAGCCAGTATCAACGCCAAGTACGTGCCAGGCAGTTCAAACATGCTTTTGCTTTGTTAGTTAGCTATCAAGTCTGGTGAAAATGCAACGCCTAGGATATACGACAATGATGGGTACTTGGGTCTTATAGAAACTTTGGGTGCAAATCCGAGTAGGCCGACTAGTTGCTGTTTACTTTGCGCAAGAAGTGCTTTCAGTATTCGGAGTGACCCATGCCTTCCGTTTATCCACCTTGCGGAATACAAGCTTGCAAAAGCGTGACCCAGGACATGCAAGCTTGCCTGGGGTGTGCGAACACTGAAAACCTGTCCAGCCTCCAGTCGCTCAACTCTGTTGACCAGCTGCTGAAGCGACGCAGCCTTGCAAGGCGGTCGCCATGTTACTTGTTCCTGACTGGGAGCGAAGGGTCTTGCAGCATCCAAAAGGTAGCAAACAAACAGCTGAACGAAGCGGATGTTGGCTTCCTAGACACTGTTAATGAACCTCAACATGTCACCGCATATCTCCGCAGTGAACTCTGCCCATGCGTCCGAAACCTGCCTCCTGGCTGAGTCTGTCAAGCTGCTGGGGCGCACTAGCCTGGCCAGTGTGAACGCAGGCAAACGCTCGGAAACTCTCCCAAACGGTCTCAACATCAAGGTCCTGGCATCATTGAGTCTGAGGCATTGCAGCGGGGTAAGGCAAAGAGGACATGGTAAAATTGGTCACTCTGGTTTGTCTGATACTTTGAGTGGTCGTCCTCCAAACCAGCTGTACACTGCCAATGACATTGTCAGAAATCAACACGTCTGTGCCAACTGCACACACACAAATCAGAAAGCACTTTAGCTGGACCAAATGCACTCAGTTCAAATTGGCTAATATGTTAAAGTTGTAGGAGTGTGAAGAAACAGTTCGCAACATGTACAAAAACCTCATGCCCCCAACCAGCCTCAATCAGCTCCATTCTGTTGACCAGCTGCTGAAGGGATCCAGCCTGGCAAGACTCTGGACTGAGTCGACCCTGATCCCGGTGTCGCCAAATGCCCCCATGCGTCCGCAACCTGCCTCCTGGCTGACTCTGTCAAGCTGCTGGGGCGGACTAGCCTGGCCAGTGCGAACGCAGGCAACCGCTCGAAAACTTCCCCAAACTGTCTCAACATGAAGGTCCCGGCATCATTGAGTCTGAGGCATTGCAGCGGGTTCAGGCAAAGGCACCATGGACTATGCTCGAGCAAAGATTGGCTGCTTGTAGCTTGCTGAAAGCAAACCATGCATGTGAAAACGGTTAACTTGTGTGCAACACACACACAAATCTGGACACACTTCAAACTGCGTCAAATGGAGTGAATGTCGAACTCGTAAACTCTACAACAACGCCTCGAGTCGGCCTCCAGTTGCTCCACTCTATTGACCAGCTGCTGAAGCGATGCAACCTGGCAAAACGATGGCCCCAGTCGACCTGATGTCCCTGGCGGCGAATGGTTTGCTCCTGAAAAAACCTACATTTTTTCTAGAAGGCAAGGGCTGCAAACCAAACCACGGCATCACAAGCAATTAAGCGAAGCCAATGTCAACGCCGTTTCTCACCACATCGCGGCTGTCCTTGTGGTCAACTCCCGCCACGGCTCCCTCTGCCTCCTGGCTGACTCTGTCAAGCGGCTGAGGCCCAGTGCGACCGCCACAGTGGGACAACGCCCAGGCTTCCACAACTCACGGCTTCAGTGCCAACAACATTCATGATGATTCCTATGTTATATGCAGTCATGTGAGTGCTCCAGCATCAACGCCATTGGACTGGGGCCACACTCTGACCCAAGCCTCCAAATGCTCCACTCTGTCGACCAGCTGCTGGAACAACGCGACCTTGCAAGGCGACTGGACGCAGCCCTCAGCCCGCGTCAGACCACCTCGAATCTTGCACGAATCAACTTCTCTTCACAGCGGTCAATCACTGCTAGAGAGCTGCACTTATGCGGCTTAACTAGTGACACTATGCTTGGGAAAACGTCACATTGTTGGATCGAAGAGTCTACATTGTACTCCGTCGTGCACTCCTGATACCATCAAATATATGATGCACATGTCTAGATGTGGATCAGGCAATTGCTTAGACTTATGCTTAGTTTGCATCACCGTCACGCCAACTTGTCATGGTTGCCAGCTAGGAACTCCTTGACACGCTCCTTGCCTCTCGGTTGATGCGGTCCAGCTGCACCGGTGTGGCCTGGCTATGCGCCAAGATCGGCGTCCCGGAAACGGATGCAACACACGCTGTCAGTTGCTTCACAATGCACATCCTTGCAGTGGTCAACATCAACCATGGCATCGTGGATATATGCAGCCAATCAGTCAAGACTCCTGACACAAGCACAAACATACACGTGGTGGACCACGCAAGCAGAATGCGCAAACATGTGGTCGCAACAAACTTGGCGGTCGAAGTGAAACCCAGCATGGGGCCTCGAGTCGCTCCACTCTGGGGACCAGCTGCTGAATCATTGCAGCCTGGCGTGAATTGGAGTCATGCAGCGGCGTCAAGTCGCTAGTCCAACTTGAGATATGCTGGATGAAGGCGAGCGCTGACAACACATTAGACGCCAAAGATTGTGCCAGGCAAACGAGCAACGCACAGTCCGAGATTGACATCTCCCGCATTGGAGCTCAACAACGAGAATCGGCACTTGTTGGGTTCCAGGCTAGTGATGATGGACAAAAATGGCAAAAGGCAAATCTCACCTACCAAAAGAAAGGGACCCACAAGAAGGCCATCTTCACCATTCTTCACATAGACCTGGTTTCTGATGTTTCTGCAAATATCCACAGTAGTTGCTTTGCTGTGAACCGTGTTGGTAAGGCTCCGAACACATTGAACATTTTCAATACCTGCTCGGCATCCTTGGTACGAGTGCATGCCTCCTGGCCGCTTCTACCCAACTTCTCGGGCATGATGGCCTGGGCAAACGAAGCACGGGCAAGATACGCGAGATTCATGTACGCAGGGTTTTCGGGGGCATAGGACTCAAACAAACCTTGGGCTACACTGTGGTTGCACTGCGACTCAATGTGATATCTGTCTCTTTGTAGACGATTATAGACGCACAATACTACTGGTCTCTAAGACTTGCAGGTGGACATGCTCTTCAAAGCCCGCTCAGCAGGCAGAGCAAAACCCCCCATACCTCACAAATAGCCCCAGAGGATTGTCAAGAGCTGAAGACCGGTGTCCGAACTCTCAACTCGAAAGACAAGCTGGCATTTCCTGCCTCCAAACACTCCAACCTGATCACCAGCTGCCGGAGCCAATCAGCCTCAAATGGTGTCAGGCCTGTGGCTGACTTGATATGCCAGCTTAAACATACCCAAAATCAAAACACCCGCAACAATACTGTCACCAACATCTGTGCACAAGCAAAACAGCCTGGTTGGAAACCATTGGGCTGAGCTTTGCTCAGAAGCAACAAACACTTCATCCATATAAACCTGCAGAGGACGCCCCTCGCGCAGTCAACCCGTCAGAAGCCCCGGCAGCACGAAGGGATGTCGCTGGTTGACCCATTGGACAAGCGACAAACTGGAAACCTGCCCCACAAGAGCTTCCAAATTGACGCCTTGACAAGTGTGCCTTCTGGTTTCCTCGTGTTTCCACTTCCACTGTAACCACCCTAGCCAACACACAAGCTGCAGCAATGCTTTCCGCACCTCTTCGCCACTTCGGTTCGGCTCCCCACGCACGCTTGCCTGCAAGCATAGCTCAACACGTTCCAAGCCAGGCTGCACGGGGTGCTGCTGGGAGTGCAAAAGGAAATTGGCTAGATCGCGTGATTTGCGTAAGAATGCCATGTGCGCATCACACAGGCGCATCCTGGCACATCCTTCCAGATATTATATCAGCACGGCCGCACCATCAAGTGAAAGGGCATGCGCGACCCTCAGCTAGGCCTGCCACTTGAACTCCCGGCTTTCCATATTGACTTCACCGCTCGACTTCTGGCAAATGCGAGCAAATAATCGTATGTATGACGCCATGCCGCCAGGAAAAAAACAACTCGGCAACATGTGCAAAGGAGGTAAAGGAGGCCTCTCTCCAACAGTCAAGAAAACTGAGAGGCCATTTGCAGGAGAGCGAATTCCTTGATGACCATGCAGAAGTCTTGCAGCCAAAATCGCCACATGCGCGTCCTCCCAACAACCGCTCCCTGCCTCTAGCGTGGGCTTTTCAGGTTGCCAGCTTGCCTGGATGCAAACGGAGCCGGCCAGAAACTGGTTCTGATGCGATTTGCGGCAAATGGGGAAATTAGGATTGTGCTGCTGTATTGCGCTTTGCAATTCACCTGGACAGTTCAAGGAGGTCAGGATGTTTCAGAAGGGGGTGGGCCCCACCGGGTGGGCTTTCAGAAAAACCATTGCCAGCTCCCCTGGGACTTCTTGGACAAGTACGTTGTGTTACTCCCAGCGGTGCGCTGCACCAGGCATCATGTTGGCTATCAAGGGGTCAAAACTGAGAACCGCGAACCGTCCTTGCTTGAATACAGTTCATGCCAGTTGCGTGAAAGCTCAGGTGAAAACTGAGGTATACTGAGGTCCACTCGCGACTATCAGTCATTGACAACTTCTCCCCCGGCAAACCGAGTGGATATAGAACGGAACCGAGTGACCCTGACGCATAGGTTCGTGCAGAATATGTCCTTTTGGAATTGTGGTTGAATGCTCACGTGTAACGAAAGGAATGCTGAGCCTTGGTAAATCATCAAGCCGCTCGATCTGTGCTTTGCAAGCAATGGTTTGCAACCAACACAGGAGGCGAAGCACTGCGCCAATCAAACGGTTGTTAACAGCAAGATCCGCAACAAATAGTTTTGGCAGCACTTGAAACGACGTGTACAACCTTGGCAACTCATCCCCTACGTCTCTCTTTGGTCCGATGCTCACCAGGAATCCAATGAGGTGAACCCTGGCGCCTCCAGACGTTCGATTCTGTTGGAGAGTCGCAAGCACTGGTCCTTAATTCAGTGCTGCGCGAGGTTGTGGAGCGGCAATGGTCCATGGCAAAGTGAAACAGAAGAAACAACCAAATAAAAGGCCATGCACGACAAACATAATATAGGCGTCTGGATTTAAACAAAGGCACCGTTCCTGCATAAGCTCAGAACCACCACGTCCCAAATCCAAGAGAAGAACGAGGCCAGGAAGGAAACTAAATGCTATGCGCAACATCCAGGCGGAATGCGAGATCTCCAGTTCAAAGTCCGGCAGGCATCACCAAGCGCTGAAGCTATGTGCGGTTGGTCGGGAAGCATGGCAAAGACTTGAAGATACTTGGCCGAAGCTCGACGACTGGTATGAAAGCTGGCCGAATTTCCGGAAACATGACAATCTAGCGTATTCCGAATTTGTCAGTGTCAATCAGTGATTCAGGGAGGCACAACGTGGGGATGAACTTTCATTGGGATCCCTTCTGGTGAACAGCATGGGTCCTTTTGTCCAACCACTTTTGATGGTCATAGCAACAAATAACACCATTTCTGTTGATTTGCATTGGGTCTTCTGTTGCTTGACATTTGATGATGAATCCCAAAGTCCCAGCAACGACCAAAGCAACAGGACCCCACTGCAGTGGCCGTCCTCCAAACGGTCAACTCTGGGCTGGGCTGGGCCCAGCGCCTGCCGAGATCTTTCAAGGGGTCCTCCTAGTCAAACAGCATGGACGTGCCGCCCCGTTTGTGACAGTAGTCCACACATGCTACGAGTTCCCAGCAACGGTCATCATGATGGCGCCTCCCAGTCGTCTGCGTGAGTGGGTGCACAAACCATCACACCTTGCCCAAACAAATGATTTATGCAATAAGCGATAGATGCTCTGCAGTGCATGATGTTACTGCACACATGCCTCCTCTTGCGAACTCCTGCCTCCAGTCGCCCGACTCTGACGGTCAGCTGTTGCAGCGCAGCCTGCGCTGAATGCGTCATTGGCACAATTATCATAATCATAATCACAATAAATACACAATGATGATAATGATAAGTTGACATACTATTCATCATCATCATCATCATCATCATCATCATCATCATCATCATCATCATCATCATCATCATCATCAAGCTCATCCTCATCATCATCCTCCTCATCCTCATCCTCATCCTCCTCATCCTCATCCTCATTGTCATCCTCATACTGTGGCTCTTTCTCATCCTCCTCCTCCTCCTCCTCCTCCTCCTCATAATCACAGGGCTGCAAAACAACATATACACGCAGACCAAACACAGAGGTGGGAGTGTGTTGAACAGCTCGCGGCTGAGCAGCACTCCCTGGCTCTTTGACTGTCGCGGGTCTGTAGCGCATCCGTGGCTTGTGCCATGGCTGTCCGAAAATCCGAAGCTTGACGCTTCACCTGGCGGCCTCTTCAAAGGAAGGCATGGGTAAGCGCCAAAAGTCCGCACCGTGTCCTGTAAGCCTCGCCTCTTGCACAACCTGCCTTTCGGCCGGCGCACGCTTCGGGGCAGCTTCACCCCTCGGCTCAGATCTCGGCTCAAAGAGTTCGGCCTCCCGCGGCCACGCAACTCTCTCAGAAGGAGTGGAGGTCGAAGGGCTTGGGCTGCGAGGCTGCGGGATTGCGCAGTTGTTGCCTGAGGCCCATGGTCCATGAGACATTGGGACGTGTAACAGTCTATCACTACTGAGGGGTTGTCTCTATCTGTCTCTTTTTCTGTATCTCTGTCTCTGTCTGTCCGTCCGTCTGTCTGTCTCTGTCTGTCTGTCTCTGTCTGTCCGTCTCTGTCTGTCTGTCTGTCTGTCTGTCTCTGTCTGTCTGTCTGTCTGTCTGTCTCTGCCTAATTGATATGTCGAACTTTTACTTCCAAGCGTACCCAACTTGTTCAATAAACAACACAAGCCGACTGCGGTCCAACCGCAGGGGGAGGGGGGCTGCCAGTGGTTTCCGAGCTTTGCTGCATTCGACTCCGAGCTGCACTGGGCCCGCGAGAGCTTGTTGATCTCCCCGCAGCCGCAGGTCCACGTCTGCGGAACCGAGGAGGCCGGCCTCCCGAGGCAAAACCAGGGTCAGTCAGGCAACTCATTTGCCTTACTTGCCATACGGTTTGATGGATTTGGCTATAAACCCAATAAACCGAATCTAGTCGGTTTTTGCTAGCCGGCTTACAAGCAAACAAAGGCAGCCAAGTGGGTGTTCGCTTACAAATTTAGATGGCAATGGCAAACAACTATATAGAACCCATTTGAAACCAGTGCCATCCATTCTCAAAACCAGTTCCCGCACTGCTCAGACTGAGAATGTCAACGTATGCTCGAACATGTTGTAGGTTAACACCACATTTTCTGTCTTGAGCTTGAGGTATGTTGACAAAACAAGGTAAGTCAGCTGCCACAAGCTTGTGACAACTCATTCAGGGCTCAACGCGCAGGGGTGTCGCACGACCATCAGCAAACATTCAGCTGCCCTATGCTTTGTGATTTATTATATAGATTTATGTGTTCGGAGGTTAAGGGGGTGGTTTCTCACCTCTCACCAAGAGGTTCAAATCCCCAAACCAATCCAAACCACCAAATAAGGGTTACCTCAAACAAATAAGAGTTACCTCAAACATGGTCACGGGACAAGCACCCGGAAAAAGCCAGCCAGAACCCCAGCCAGGGCGCTGTGCGTCAGCAACCAGCGCGTCAGCGACCGCGTCAGCTTCACACGGGATGCCAACCTGGCGATACAATGAGAAGCCATTGCATGGTCCTGCTGTCAAGGGCCCCAAACAAATCAAAACAGCCTCCTTCTCTCTCGATAGGGCCTAAGTGTGCCTAAAATGGTGTTGGGTGTCCACCGTTTCGGGGCTTTTGACAGAAAAGAACATTCCACAAATCGTGAGGTCTTGGCATGCCTTTACATTGCAATATGTTGCACACTGGTTGACAACCCATGGGACCTGAACAAGCACTGCGAACTGTGCAGTCCACTCAAGTGATTGCTCCTGGACACTGAAGACTACAGCCAAGCGTAAAGCCCCGCCTCCAAGCGACGAAGCCAATGGTGAGTTTACTCGACTGCTCGGGTGCCGACTAGTTGTTTCCCACTTCAAGTTCTGGCCAACTGGCTTGCATGTATCCGGCCATACCGCTAACCTCAAAACCAATCCGGCTGCCTTGAGAGGGAAGGACTTGGGGGAAGAATTGCCTCCATTTAAGCCTTTGAAAGTATGGTGTGTTGTTGCCCAGGTGACTTCTACTTGGAAAGGGCTTCCTTGTTGAACCCAGCGAGTGTAAACTCAGCGCTGCATGAAGCAACAGCAGACTCTGCCCTGTTGCACTTGCTGCAAGGAACAAGCCCCAAGCCCTTGATAGGGGTCACAAGTGGCTTTTTTCAACCATGGCCACCAAAACCGTGTCACCTCCCGATCCCACAAGCCTTACTGTATGGTTCGTCTGGCTTGAGGATACCACGCTCGCTGCTTCGCCCATCCCCTCAAGCGCCTGCTCGCAAAAGGCTTGCAGGTCCCGGTCGGAGGTGACGCGCCAAAGATGGCCGAAGCCCTCCTCAGGTAAGGTTGTGCTTGGATCCCGGTGGATCCCAATATCTAAAGACGGCTTCCGGCCTACTACCCCTAGGGAAAAGTGGGGCACATACTCCTGATACATCTGGATATATATATATATATATCCGTATATGTATATTAATATATTGGATGTGTCTTTCATCAAACCCCACAGAAAGCTGGAGGTGCTGTGGGTAGCTTGAGATGGCGGGAGGGCCTCCTGTCTTTGGGTCTTTGGGCTGCCCAGTGGTTACTGTGGGCAAAAGGGTCGAGTGGGTCTGCATGTCTCTCAGCACATGTGGCTGTTTGAAGAAATCAGAGTCTGGACCTGCAACTTCCCTAAATGAGGACCCTCACTACTAGGGATCTCCCTAAAAGGACCTTCACTCTATACCGAAAACAAGCATCCCTAAAAAGAGAGGGCCTTCATCATGAGCTCATCTGACCGATTCGAATGGGTGAGCTGGCCATGTCCACAGGCTCCTCCTTGGAGGGCGGCTGCCACTTCTTGGCGAAGCCATGGATCACCTTGAAGCATCCCTTCGGCTGAGTTGCCCAAGCCAAACATACCCGCCCCCCAGAGCGAAAGGTGTGTTGCCTTTTGCTCTCCGTCCAACGCAGGACCTCCCCCCAAACAGCACACGACATGGCCATGAATTTTCATATGGAATCAGCTCAAGTGTAGTTGGTGGACATGAATCCCAACCTACCCTTCTGCCCACTAACATGGAACCCAACAGAGGGTCCGTTTTAAAGGAAAGTAGTCTTCCAGGGCCCATCAGTCAGGTTCCATGTGGATGGGAGGGCAAATGATGTCCACCAGAGGGTCCCCATTTCGATTCCATGCCCAGCGCTTCAGGGGAGTCGAAAAAGAAGGCCATCCGCCGCGGCACTGTCAGGGAGGCCTCCCTGGGCGGCAAGGTGCTGTGCCCGAAGCGCCGCAGGACCTCACCGTCTCCCCGAAAAGAAATCGGCCGCGACTATTTGACCAACGCCAAATCGGAGATTGCCCCTTTTCTACGTTTTGAAGACATCTATAAAAAGGAAAAACAAAACACGCCATGATAAGGGTTATTTTAGGAAAACTCGTCTTGCGCTGCCAGAGAGTTCTCAATGTGTTGATCAAGCTGGAACTCCTCATATCTCTCAATTCTGGGTGTTTCCTTTTCGGTGCCTGTTTTGAGCTTTGCTGATTTGCGAGTCCTCCGAGCTTCGGGGAACTCCAGGGACCCTCAAAGGGAGCAAAGGAGAACCAAAGACAAAGGACACACGCTTAGGCGCAACTCCCGCCCACCCATATATTTCATTCGGTGCAGCATACTTTCCCAGTGCTCCATTTGATCACATTTGCCACTTTGGTGCTCATGTGCTTGTTGCCAACATCGCCACTCTGGTGCTTGTTGCCGTATTGCTAAACCTGGTCCACCCGACCATCCTTCAGACTTCTGTTCAGAGGCGTCCTTCAGAACAAACGGTATTGGTAAATGATCTGGCACTAGTATCATCGTATATGAATATTAATATACAAGTAAGGTCCGGCAGAGCCGGGGGGCGGAAGTTTCAAAGCAGTGAACAACTATAGTTTGGAGAACTGTCCTTGGCCCCTTGCTTCTCTTTCTCTCTGTCTTTTTCTCTCTTTCTCTCTTTCTCTCTTTCTCTTTCTCTTTCTCTTTCTGTTTCTCTGTCTCTTTCTCTCTCTTTCTATCTATCTCTCTAGCTATCTCTATATCTGTTTATTGATCTATCTATCTACCCATCTTTCTCTGCACTTAAAAGTTGCGATGTTCAATCCCCGAAAGTTGACTTCGCGTACTACTTTCGTACTTAAAAGTTGCGATTTTCGAGCCCCAGCTGCGAAACTGGACTTCACGTACTACTTTCGTAGTTAAAAGTTGCGATTTTCGAGCCCCAGCTACGAAAGTGGACTTCGCGTACTACTTTCGTACTAAAAAGTCGCGATTTTCGAGCCCCAGCTGCGAAAGTGGACTTTGCGTACTACTTTCGTACTTAAAAGTTGCGATTTTCAAGCCCCGGCTGCGAAAGTGGACTTTGCGCACTACTTTCGTACTTAAAAGTTGCGATTTTCAAGCCCCAGCTGCGAAAGTTGACTTCGCGTACTACTTTCGTACTTAAAAGTTGCGATTTATCTATAGATCTACCTATCTATCTACCTCTCTATCTCCTATCTATCTATCTACCTCTCTATTTATTTATCTCTCTATCTCTTTATCTATCTAGCTAGTTATTTGTCTATCTATCTACAAATCTATCTATCTCTGTCTATCTCTGTTTCTCTATCTCTTTCTATCTATTTCTCTAGCTATCTCTATATCTGTTTATTGATCTATCTATCAGTCCATCTTTCTCTGCACTTAAAAGTTGCGATGTTCAATCCCCGAAAGTTGACT